TCCTCTCTGTATATCTGCCTTTCCAATAGAAACAAATAACTCTTAAATAAAAATAAAAATAATAAAAGCAAATTTTTTTCCAGCTGTATGGCCTATGTTACTTTTGAAGTTCCTTCATTCTTCTCTAATCCATCTATTTATTCATCCTTCCATTTCTTAGAATATTAGAAAAATATTTTCTGAAATGAAGAAGGAATCTGGAATGTTTACCCAGCCTGTTTCTTTCTGTCTGACGTCATCAGTGAGTTGTTTTCCTTCCTGAGGTGTGAGCAGAGCGGGGCCCCTTCCCTGGAGGGTAGACTCTCCCAGTAGCTGTTAGCTCTCCTGTGTGGCCGTCAGTATTGCTAAGCACATCGGGAGTCCCAGCTTACCCTGGAATAAATGCTGCAACATGCCAGCAGGCTGTGGCACCAAGAGTCACCATGAACTGTCACCTCCTAAGATCATTTCTGGAAGAAGCTCCTGGCTCCTGGCTTCAGATCGGCTCAACTCTGGCTATTGAGACCACGTGGGTATTAAACCAGCGGATGGAAGATTTCTCTCTGTAAAAAAAATCTGCCTTTCCAATAAAACTAATATTATTGTATCAAATTTATGTATGTGTATATGTATTTATTTATTTATTCCAGCACATGCAAGGTGAGGACTTTAACCACTGGGCTACTGTGACTGGTCCCAAAATAAATAAGTCTTTAAAACAGATTGTGTGCTACATGTAGTTCTATGAACTTGTCTCTTAGCGACCTTGTTAAAGGTCGTGGCAGACAATGAAAGGATTAATGGAGAAGTAAATACAGGGTTCGGAGCCTTGGGACTTCCGCTCATAACATGTTTGCACATGGATCAGCATGGAGCTTGGTTTTACGTGAGCTCTGTTTGAAAGCGCCGGTGCTCACGGTTGGTTCATGGGCAATGCGCTCCTGGCCAGCAGCCTCTTGACTCCACGTGCGCCTTTGTTGGCCACACTCCCGCAGGGAGCTCTAGCTGGCACTTGAGCGCTGGGCTCGGGGGCGTTGCAAACAGCGAAGCGCCCACAGCAAGCACAGCAGGGCGCAGGAGCATCCTTTCCTGATGCAGGGAAGCACACCTGTGTCGGAGCCATATTCAGCACTTCTCTCCATCTTGCTTTTCTTGTTCAACAAGATCGTATGGACATTCTGGGGAGCCCGGGAGTGTGTCTTCCAGGTCATTCTCTGTAATGGCGCTGTGTTTGCTCACAGTCTGGGGAGTCACAACTAATTCAACCAGCTTCCTCCTACAAATGTTGACTTTGTGTTTGTTTTCGCTTTGGCTAAGCCAAGCAACGGCACAGCAAGCTTCCTCAGATTCACAGTGCTTCTGTTCTCACAGGCAAGGTTCCCAGCAAAGAAACTATGGCTGATTTTTCAGAAAGGCTCCAAGAGCTGACATGTTCATGGACAGCATGTAAAGTTATAGTTGTTATACAGTCCTATGGCTAGTAAGAGGATCATTTCATGGGCCTGGCACCATAGCCTAGTGGCTAAAGTCCTAGCCTGCATGCACCAGGAACCCATATGCGCCAGTTCATTTCCCATCTACTCCATTTTCTTTCCCACTCCCTGCTTGTAGCCTATCAAGGACAGCTCAAAGCCTTGGGACCCTGCACCTATGTAAGAGACCCAGAAGAAACCCCTGGCTCCTGGCTTTGGATTGGCATAGTTCTGGCCATTGTAGCCAAATGGGGAGTGAACCAGCAGATGGAAGATCTTTCTCTGTCTGTACTTCTGTGTAAATCCGACTTTCCAATTAAACAATTTAGTTTGTGGAGAGGCAGATTAGATAGGAAACAAAGAGTTCCTATCCATTGGTTCACTCCTTAATTGAGCAGCAGGCTGGGACTGGGCCCGGATGGAGTGGGGAGCTCGGAGTCCAAGCAAGGTCTCTCAGGCAGGTGGCAGAAACCCAGTTACTTGAGCCATCATGTGCTGCCTGCCAGGATCTGCCTTATTGGTTAGCTTCAGTCAGGAGTCAGAGTTGGGAATATAAGCCTGGTGTTCAGATATGGGACATGAGTATCTGTGCTGTCCATGTGGAACATTGGCGTTGCAGGCGGGGGCTTTACCCTAACTAAGAGCTGGTCTTACCCATGAGGCCTAGTGTCTTCTCTCACCAGCAAGAACCCACCTTCATCTCTGGATTTACTTTCTTGAAAACAACCTAACCCTCCCTTGGGCTGTCTGATCTTTGCTGAGATGTAAAGATCTAAATCAGTCAGCTGTTCTCTGGTTTAAGGATATTTTCCTGCTTTGTTACTTTATATAAACTTTGATCATGAGCTTTTCACAAAATGACTTAAAAATTCTGTCTTTATAATGCTCATTTCTTTAAAACATGTTCATAGCTTTCGAGTTTTCACTTTAGCAGCTGTCTTGTTCCTAGATAGCACATGTGGTAGCTGATATTTTCTTGCAAGATGCTTATCTTTTAATCCATATAACATTTATTGTTGTATACTGTTTTGGAAGAGAATTCAGCCTTACTTTAAAGGACTAGCCAGTTGTGTAGCACCACTATTCAATAAATAATCCATTATCCTCTACTTGAAAGAATTCCTTTTTCAACATGAGCTCTGGCACACTTACAGGAAGCACAGAGCATCTCTTTGCCATCTCTTCTCATGCCATGTTTGCTGGCTAGCAATAGCTGTAGTGTGTTCTGATTTCTGATGAACAGATGCCAGAATTGTGACCAGCATTGTGGCAGAGCTCGTTAATCTGCCGCCATCCCATATGGGGGTCAGTGGGAGTCCTGGTTGCTCTGCTTCTGATCTCATGCCCTGCTAGTGCTCCCCGGAAAGCATCAGAGGATGGCCCAAGTCCTTAGTCCCCTTCACCTGTGTGGGAGATCTGGTGGAGCTCCAGGCTCTTGCTCCTGACTTTGACCTGGTCCAGCCTCGGCTGCTGCAGCCATTCAGAGAGTGATCCACAAGGGAGATCTCTCTCTTTTTCACTTTTTCTGTCTCTCTCTTACTATGAAATCTGACTTCAAATAAAGAAATGCATCTTAAAAAATAAAGATGTGAAATTTAGATTTTTTTTAGGTCTTGATTAGCATGATGCTGAACTTTTGTGCTAAATAACTGATATATGTATGACATTACATTTTCATGTTATCTTTCCATTGGTTAAAATTTCATGATATGCTCTTATTTGCATAGGTCTCAGTTTGCTTGGTTTCTGGGCATAGTCATGTGCCACACAATGATGCTTCAGTCTGAAAAATGATAAGGAAGCTGCCAATCCTTACAAGGTATTTCTGTTTCAAGCTATCAAAACAAGAGTTGAAGATTTGAAAATTTAAAGTTGAGATCAATGTTGTGTTAACTAAGCCTCCTCCTGTGATGCCAGCATTGCACATGGGCTCCTGTTTGAGTCCTGGCTGTTCCACTTCTCATCCAAGTGGAGAGACCTGGAAGAAGCTCCTGCCTCCTAGCTTCTGACCAGCTTAGCTTTGGCTGGTGCAGGTATTTGCAGGGGAGGGGTGAGCCAGTGGATGGATGATTCTCTCTGTCGCTCTTCCTCTCTGTAACTCTGCCTTTCAAATAAATAGAAACATTTTTAAAAAGTTAAAAAAGTTTATAAAGTAACAAAGTTATAGGAAGTTGAAGTTAATTTGTTACTGAAGGAAAGAGAGCACTGTTAATACATTGGCTCTGAGCAATGTGTCCCATGTTTACCAAGCCTGTAGCGTGTATTGCCACATGCCTGCCTTCACACTCACTCTTGGCTCACTCACTCAGAGCGGTTCCAGTCCTGCCTGCTGCCCTCATTTGAATGCCTGACACAGGCATACCATTTTTGTCATTTATATCACGTTTCCTGCACCTCTCCTATGTTACAGGGTTGGCTCGTCGGTAGGTGGGAGCAGTGGGCTAGCAGCTTGCTGAAAGTGCACTCCCTGATGTTTGCACATGACTACGTCACACCGAGATGCATTTCTCAACACATCACCTCACTGTGAAGCAACACGTGATGGGACGTGATAGATTTCATCACTCTTGTGAGAAAATACTCCCATTCTCCTTTCCAGAGAACTATTCAAATAAAAGTTCTTGATTTATTTATAAGCCATCTCAGGAAATTTAGTAATTCTAATGTATTTTTCTTCACATTATAATTTTTTTTGAGAATAAAATAATGGCAATGGCAAATAACTGTTTTTAAAATTTATTTTTGTTGGAAAGGCAGATATACAGAGAGGAGGAGAGACAGAGAAAGATCCCTCATCCGCTGGTTCACTCCCCAAGCAGCCACTATGGTTGGAGCTGATTTGATGCAAAGCCATGAGCCAAGACCTTCTTGTGGGTCCTCCATACAGGTGTAGGGACCCAAGGGACCTGTCCTTGACTGTTTTTCCAGGCCATAGGCAGGGAACTGGATGGGAAATAGAGCAGCCAGGAGTAGAACAGGTGCCCATTTGGGATCCCAGTGCATGCAAGGTGAGGCTACTGCACTGAGCCCAAATAGGTAGATTTTTAAGCCTCCATTTTTTCAAGTATATATCAACTATTTCATTTCTTTGTTTTATTTTTAAAACTCCTCAAGGAAAAAAAATCTATAGTCAGATAAGTATAGCCAGGAGTGGTTTCCTGTGTTCAAAATAGGAATATGGAGCCCGATGTGGTAGCCTATGTGGGTAAAGTTCTCGTTTGCATGCCTGGGATCTCATACGGGTAAGCCCCATTTCCCATTCAGCTTTCTGCCTGTGGCCTGGGAAAGCACTTGAGGACGGCCCAAAGCCTTGGGACCCTGCACCTGTGTGGGAGATCCAGAAGGGGCTCCGGGCTCTGGGCTTCTGGCTTTGGATTGGCTCAGCTCTGGCCGTTGCCTCTGCTTGGGGAGTGAATCAATGGAGGGAAGATCTTCCTCTCTGTCTTTCCTCCTCTCTGTACATCTGACTTTCTAATAAAAATAAATCTCGGACTGTGAAAATGGGACTAGCAAACACACTGACACACAGACAGGTGGTTACAACGGCCACTCTAGTATTTTATCTAGGCTTCATGTTTAACACTTGAATATATTAGTCTCAGAATTGCTTAATAGGACCCGGAAGAAAAAGGAACTTGGGGTTTTCTCTTGTGCACTGTGCAGCCCTTCACTTCTGAGGTTTCCGAGTGACACTGACGCTGGAGACCTTCTTTCTCTTCCACAGAACCCATTTCCAGAATGATGTCCAAGGGTGGATGTCTCGCAGTTGAAACATAAATGCTGTAAAAATCAGGCCCCCCAGCACCACAGCCACAGCGACAGCAATGAGTGTGTGTCCTGGAAACGGCAGGGGGGCGTCATCCACATAAATCTGCAACAGAGCAGGAGAGTGAGCGTTCTGGGCCTGCGCGGGCGAAGCCCTGTATGTTACATATGATAACCACAGTTAACCACCTACAAAAGCCTGCCCCCAGTTATGCATTTGGCATCCCACAGGGCCTATGCAGTTTTCTGCTGGATGACAAGCTTGCGGATCATGCATAGGGACTAGAAATTCCCTTTTGTATCCCACAACTTTCTCCTTTCTCTCACGGCAGTGGGAGGAAGAACGCTGTGGATTCAGTTGCAGGGGAATGGGTCAAGGAACAGAGAGGAGGGAGTGCCTGCTTTCCTGGGGCTACTGGGAAAGGGGTTTCCTGAACCAGATCTTGAAGAAGTAGGCAAAAGGACATGCCAGGCAGAGGGCTCTAGAAAGTCCCATTGGTAGATCAGTACCAACAGAAGAGACTTTTATTTATTCAAAGGTTTCCTCTGCCTGGATTGATAGTTGTGGGTGACGTCTGGGTCTTCCTGTGGCTGTGGACACCTTCCAGCACGGCCTTCTTGGCCTTCAGGGCCTACGCGCCAGGAGGGACAGGAGCTTCCTTCCTTGCTGCAGGTGCCCTCTTGGTGAAGACAACAGCTGTTTTTATGAGTTTGTCTGATCATTACTTTTGTTGTCATTTGATGATCTTATTTTCTTTTCAGGTTTGAATATATCGTTTTAGTTCTTGGTTTAGTGGATAATCTTGGATTCTATGACATTCTGAAACTCTGGATCATCATAAACATCTTTATTATTTGTTTATTTTTATAAAAGGTTTACTTGTAAGGCAGAGTGACATACAGAGTGCACTCCCCAAATACCCACAAAACCAGGGTTAGGCCGGCTCAAGTCGGGTCAGGAAGCCATCCAGTCTCTCCCGTGTGAGTGGCCACAGATTCAATGATTGGGCTAGCATATGCTTTCTCCTAGACACATCAGCAGGAAGTTGGATTGGAAACAGGGGCCAGCAGGGTCTTCAGTGAGGTACTTTGATATAGGATATAGACGCCCAAGCAGTGGTTGAACCTGCTGTGTGTGTGATACTTGTTTGTCCCAGCAGTCAGTCATACTGATTGCATTCAGGTCAGAAGTCATGCCTCACTGTCTCACAGTTGTTGCTGTGCTATTGGTTCCTTTTTGACATGCGTGCCACGTGAGTTACCCTACAACGTGGGTGGTTCTTGTTTTGTGGTGTTCTTTCAAAGCCTTTGCTGTGCTTCTTTAAGTGTGCTCTTCCTTTCAGCACGTTGATACGATTTGAGTTCTTATTGAGGATTGGAAAGCCTCCCTTTCAGCCCTCCCCTCTTAGGGATTTCCCCAGCATGCATCGTTCCCACAGGCCCTTGTCAGTTCCTGTTCTTCTGGGAAGAAAGCTGCGATTCCATGAGAATTTTACCCTCTTGTATTACAATGCTGTTCCCTACAACTGGGGTTGCCGCTGGAACAAAGGAGAAAAGAGAAAAAACCAAAGGTGCTCTCCCTCAAACTCTTCATCTGACATGGGCTCCCTTGATGGATCTTCTCTGGGCGCTTGCATTGCTGCCACAGGCATCCATCATTGGAAGGCACAGCCATTGTCAGGCCGCCCGAGAAGGGCCGGGATAGAAAGGGTGGGCGGAGAATGTCAGTGGGGCGTCAGTATCTGACAATGAATGAGTCATTCATCAAGTTGGACTGCATTCCCCAGAGGCAGCAGATAGCATCATATGGGTAAGCAAAAATGAGCAGTTACTTTCACAGAAGAATTTTGGGGGAAACTGGTTGTGTTTTCCAACTCTGGGAACATTTTAAAAGTCTTTGGGAGTATTTAAGATGACTCCATTACAGTTCAAATAACCAAAGGAAGGATGATTCTGGAAACTGACACGTTACAGATCTCTGTCCCATGGGAAGATGAGGGTGCGAGGAAGGGCACTGACAGTCAGAAAATGAAGCCAAACATGGAAGTTCAGACAGCAAACAAAACCAGACAGCCATGGGCTGACACTCTCCTGGCATCCACTCATGCTGGCACCTTTTATGTGCTATAACTTAACGATCATTGGCAATGTCAGCATCTTTCCCAGGGTCCATCTTTGAGCCTTGTCCATTACCCACATTCTGCCCAGTTTTCTCTTTCTTATTTTTTGAGTGGATACCAGTCATGATATTGCCCCCAGCCACCACCCCTTACGAGACCTCAGATGTGCACTATACCTGAAATTCTTCAACCAAGTCACAGAAGGTGACCCCTGGAACAACAGACACTCGAAAGTGAAAGAGCTCAGAGCCCTGTGGAAGAAACACATTTGCCCATTAGCCAAACCAACACACATATTCTTTTCAGCAAAAGCCTGCACTATTGTTCCATAGATGTCACCTAGTGAAGACTCCCAGGTCCCTGTTGGATGTACACATCATGGTCAGGAAATAAAAAGGGTTCAAACAGCAGTTCAATAACTGGCCTTCTCTTTATTTTTTTTTTTTTTAGGATGGAAAAACAAAAACCAAAAACATAACACCCAACTTGGCCTTCATGGGTATTTTGGTTGAATCATATGCTTTTTACACACCCCTAATTTTAATTTTTTTTTAAATATGTGAACTTCCTATGTTCCTGTGGGAAGCTGGAACTAGAAGATGTGTACTTGTGTCATGACTGTTGAACCTGTTCCTGTTCCTTCCCTCTCTGCTCTACATTGCTGAATAGTCTGTCTTGCACATCAGCTTAAAAAATAGCAACTTAATGCTAACTTCAACTTTCACATACCTTGAGGAAGAATAACACAAAGGAAAATAAAGAAAAAAACCCCTCATTATCCATTTTCTTTAAATATTCTGCTCCCACCATTCATGGATAAATATTAAAAAAACCTGTTTATGTTTATACATTAAAAAATTTAACTAAATGCTGACAATAAAAACAAGAAAATTGTCAACTTACTTTTATGCTTATGTTGAGACCTGAAGGATTATACACTGGAGCTTGAACAAGGGGTTCCAAGTAATTTTTCAGCTTCTTAATATTTCCTGGCACAGAGTGTTCTAAAATACAAGAAACATTTTAAGTCACTTACATTAATTTTTCATTTTGCATACAAGTTACTACCTACTTTAAGGTACCAGACAAGATTCGGTTCTGTAACATGACTAGTGGAGCCCACATCATTGGTTCTGCCTGCCTTGGTAGAAGGTGCACGTAGGGCCGATGCTTAGGGCTCCTATTTCACGACACATCTGGGGGTTCTCAAGGGCAAGACTTTGGGCCACCTTGCTGCAAATGGACCTTTTTCATCCTGCTCTCTCTCCCAGCCAGTCCTGACCTGCACATTCTTTCTGTTTCAGGCAGTAAGACCATCCCCATGACCTTTTTAGTAGTGCGAAAATGACTTTCAATGAGGTGGCAGTCATGCTTCACAAAGGAATCATTTAGAGCTGTTGCAGAAGAAGTAGTTAGCCAGTGATGCTTTCTTTCTAAAACCTGAGGGGTCAGGCAGGGGTCAGGAATTGCAGTGGTGTCATAGCACATGGTATCTAAAAGCATGAGCTTTGCAGTGTCTGCCCATGTTCGTGCTGTGTCGCGCACACACTCACGTGGCTAAAGTCACACCTTCAGTGACTGAAAAACCAGTTTATAAAATGCTTCAATATTTAACCACCAGTGTTCCAGCTCTTGGGGGTGTGGTGGGCAGTCTTCAGTATCCCCCAGAAAATGGAGCTGTTGTTTAAAGCACAACTTTGCATAGATTTAATTTACTGAATTTTTCATTTAAAAAATGCATACATGTTAGGTGGCATAAAACTCATTGAGTAACAAATGACCAGTTATTTAGTAACAAATTCATGTAATAATTCAAATTTCTAGCTAGTTTTTTTGAAAAAGTATTTCTTTATTTATTTGAGAGACAGAGAAACGGACAGACACAGATGTTGGTTCACTCTCCAGATACCCATAATGACAAAGGCTGGGCTACGTCAAAGCCAGAAACCTGAATTTCATCCAGGCTCTGCCTGTGGGTGGCAGGAGGTCAGTTCCTTGAGCTGTCAGCTGCTGGCTTCCAGTAGGCATGAGCAGGACTCTGGCATTAGGATACACTTAGGTACTCTGCTATGGCTGCAGGTGTCCTCAAGGACACCTCAACCACCAAGCTAAATGGTCATTTTTATTTATTTATTTTTAATTACCTATTTGTCTGTCCATCTATTGTCAATCACTTATAAATATTCATATACAAACAAACAAAATGTGCCAGAAAAAGTTGTATATTTGAGGTAAAATTGAATTGAAATAAATTTTCTTTTTGTTATTTAAAAATGTTTATCTCTTCAATTATTTTACCATATATTCTTTAAAAAGCTTTACTCATAATCAGAAAATAGATTCTGTAATTACTTGGCCATGCCTTTGGCAACTTCTTCTATAAACACAAAATACACAGTAAAATAAGATGCTAGACCAGCGTGCGGTAACTATTGCTGCTGTTAATTTATAAAATGGCTTTCAATTATTTTTGCAGTTTGTGTTTTTAAAAGTTTATCTTGATTATTTGGAAGGCAGGGTTAGAGAGAAAGAAGAAGACACAGAGAGAGATGGAGATCTTGCATCTGTTGGCTCATTTCCCAGATAGCTTCCAGGAGAAAAGAACTCCATCTGGTCTGGCACATGGATGGCAGGGACCCAAGACTTGGGCTGTCTTTCTACTGCCTTCCCAGGTATATTAGCCTAGAGTTGGATAGGAAGTAGAACAGCTGGGACTCAATGGGACATTGGTGTTGTAAATGGTGGTCTAAGCTGTTGTGCCACAATGCCAGCACCTGCAGTTTGAAATTTTAAAACAATGATTTTATAACATAAAATTTAGGCCACCAGAAGCAATAAGAACTGATACAGGAGGCAAAACAAGTGAACAGCAATGTGCTAACTGATTCCAATCCTTGTCTGAAGGACCCCTGGATACCTCTTTGTGTAAATGGGTTTTGCAAAGCAATAATAAGAACATTATTTATAAGACAAAACACTTCTAGGTGAAAACAAACCCTACTTAGCTGCCAGTTCTTCCTCAAGTTCACTTCAGTCACAGTGACCAGATATGGAGATTTCACTGGGATAAGTACAGACTCATTGGAAATTTTCAAGGTAATTGGATATTGCACAACTGGAAACTTAAAACGAGGAACCTAAAATGCAAATTCCAAGGATGAATATGGGTTTGGAAAATCTCATGACAATTCCATTTCCGTGGTTGAGAATGAACAGACACAGTCCCGGTAGTTTGGCTTCTGACTTTTCAGGCATGAAAAGTGTAACTGGCAGCAAACCTGATGTGACCTCATCAAAGGCAGCGCACACATGCGCTAACGAAAGTCATTGTTTTCTACTGGGCTGCAGTAAATTCTACTGGAATTCACTACCACGTCATTCACACTCTGGCTAAGCCTTGTCCCGTGCAGTCTTGTCTGCCCCCTCACACGTGTCTCTGCCGGTCTGTCTTTCAAGCACTGTCTGGAAACTCAAGCTCTGTAGTCAGAATTCAAAGCTGGCTGCTCTGGCAGGTGCCAACACTGTGATCATGGTCGGCTTGCCTTTCTCCTCTGTGGCTTGCACAACACAAGATCAGTCAGGAAGTTGAGAGCAGTATTTTTGGTATGCAGTAACTACTCAAGAAATGCTCTTTTAACTTAGGCAGACAGTGTACCAAAAAACCTTCATAACTTACTGAATGCCAACTCTATGCCCAACGTCGTAGGAACTGATTTTAAATTTTGATCAATAGGTAAAATTATGTAATACAAGGCAGCATATACCTGATGTCTATATGGTGTTGTCTATAAAGACTATCTATATAGCATATATAACTATATATAGTTATATGATTATATATTCCACATTATATATATGGTATCTGTATATATTCTTGATAAAACCTTTGAAATAGATCTGCTTGAAAATTATACCAAGTACAAATTTCACTCTGCTAATGCCAACACCATTAACTTGATATATATGGTCAGATGTCTCAATACTAATAGACCCAAATGCTCTCAGACACAGAGCTTGTTCTCTTAGCCAACACAAGGAACCACGTTTTGTTGACCACCATTAGCCAACTGAGTTCCCTGACTGCAGGTCCTCATTCACCGCAATCCGGTGCAGCGTTTCACAGAGGACACATTTCCTTCACACAGGTAAGGCTGTGTGGATGCTTGTGTCCTTACAAAGACGCTATGACACGGGGCACTGCAAGTGTTATGTCACGTTACAGATGAGCTCAACTAGCTTGCCTAGGGATGTACAAGCCCAGATCTCTTTAGCTCTGTATCCCATTTAGATCTATGTTATTCTCAGATCTCAATGCCACGTCTTAGTCTTCATGCTGAACTAGAGGCACATTTCAGTCTTGTGGAAAAGCAGGTGCTCTGAGGAAGGAAGCATGGTCTTACTTTTTCTCTGCAGTCGGAGAAAGCGACAGAATGCGAGAACTTCTGGGCATTCGTGCAGTTGCACTCCTCCCGGGTGGACACGTTTGCGCACTGCTTGTATTTACCAGCCTCCTGCAAAGAGAAGCAACTGGGCTTGACTGGCTTCTTTGTGTCGCTGGATTTCTGCAAACTGAGTACATGTTCAAGATATATTTGCTGTTTGGATAAATGCAATGTCTGAGAAGTTAAAAGGGAAAGCAATCCACTGAAAACAAAGCAAGAGTGCGAGGACGGCAGCTCTGAGTTGTACGGGGCTCCTTGCACAGCTGTCTGGACCAGGGATCACTCAGCTGGCTGCCAGTTGACCACAGGCTGCATTCCTGTGCAGCAGCAGGAAGCTCGACTGCATCTGTGTGCACATGTGTTTGTATGAAGCAAATGCCCATTTGTACATGCACATGGTAGGAAGGGGATTTTCTTGTAGAGTCCACAGCATTTGTGGGCTTGCAAGAAGCATCCACATCATGAATAACTAAGCCCTCTCTCTACTGTGGCCAGCCACCCCAGTGAGACAAGCACTTTGGGGGCTGGACCTAGGCAGGGACTTACATGGACCCACATGGGGCAGGCAGTCTTTTCTTTGGATGCCACTCCTTTCACAGGGCTGGAAACCTGAGACAGAGTTAGGGCTCCTTTCATTAGAGAAAAGCTGCTTTCTCCCTGAGTTAACCCTTGACAATATGCGTGAGAGCCAAGAGAGATCAGGGGAGAGTTGATTTAGGCTTCCTGGGGGCTGAGACAGCAGGAGGGATGGGGGTAGCAGTGGCAGTAATCCCAGTGCCTGGAGATGGAGCAGTGGATCTTGGGAAGCCCATGGCCCATGCTGGAACGTGTAGTTGAGTCCCGACTCCAGTACCTTCCTGATAAGATTCCTGAGAAGGCAGTGGAGGATGGTGCATGGAGCTTGGGTCTCAGATGCCAGATGGATCTGCAGGCTTCTGCTTTCAACCTGGCCCAGCCCAGCTGCAATCAGCATTTATGGAGTGAGCCAACAGACAGAAAATCTATCCTGTCTCTCCAATCTCCTTTTCTCTCATCCTATCCTCTTTTCCTCCATCATTGTGCTTTTCAAATAAATAAATACATACATTCAAACATACATCTTTGAAATAAAATAATACTGTATCCTCTTGTTTACTCTGGCCAGCTAGATCCATCGTCACGCTCCAGAATGACTTTTGGATACAGACCAATTTTGCACTCGCTTATTGGTAGAAAAACAACTTACCTTTGACTTGCGAAATAGATTTCTTGGTATGGGCTGGCTAGGATCAGCGTGATAGAAATTATCTGTAAGTGGAATAGCAATTCCCATATTAGATGGAGGTCTGTAGTTTATCTGCAAGTGGTTAAAAGAAAAAAGTTACAGGTTAAACCAAGAAAAGCTACAGTTCATTATTACTTTCTAAGACTTTCAGTATCTTGATTTTTTCAATATACATATTTTATTTTTAGCTCCAGCTGTTAAATTTATTTTCCCTCAACAAATACCCTTTGTTTTCTGGAATTTCAACAAACTAAACCAAAGGTAAAATAAAACGTGGAGCTTGTTAATAAGTGAAAAATACTTTTGGAACCTAAAATAGCTGCCATAAAGTCAACAAAAAACTGTGTAATGAAGGAGCCTTAGTGGGACCAGCACTGTGGCACAGTAGGTTAAGTGACTGCCTGGGATGCCGCCATCACTTATCTGAGTGCAAGCTTGAGTCCTGGCTGCTCTGCTGCTGACCCAGCCCCCTGCTAATGTACCCAGGAAGAAGGCAGTCGATGGTCTGAGTGCTTGAACACCTGCTGCCAATGTGGGAGACCAAGGTGGAGTTCCTGGCTTGTAGCTTTGGCCTGGCCCAGACCTGGCTATTGCAGCCACTTAGGGAGTGAACCAGCAGATAGAAGATCTCTCTCTCTCTCTCCCCCTTGTCTTGTTTCTGTCTGCCTTTCCAACTCTGTTACTGTATCTTTCAAATAAATAAACATATCTATTTATATACATAAAAATATATTTTAAACAGCTTTAGTGACATGTTAAGTAATTCTTCAAATTTGCTTATTTTTTAAAAAAAAGATTTATTTATTTATTTATTTATTTTTTTATTGGAAAGGCAGATGTACAGAGAGGAAGAGAGACAGAAAAGAAGATCTTCCATCTGATGATTCACTCCCCAAGTGAGCGCAATGGTCGGTGCTGCACCAATCCGAAGCCAGGATCCAGGAACTTCTTCCGGGTATCCCACATGGGTGCAGAGTCCCAAACCATTGGGCCATCCTCGACTGCCTTCCCAGGCCACAAGCAAGGAGCTGGATGGGAAGTGGAGCTGCCGGGATTAGAACTGGCGCCTATATGGGAAGCAGGCGTGTTCAAGGCAAGGACCTTAACCATTACACTATTGCGCCGCCCCCCCCTTTTTTTTTTACAAGGGCCTGGCATCACAGTGTGGTGTGTTGGGCTATTGCTTGCGATGCTGGCATTCCTATGAACAGCAGTTGAGTCCAGGCTGCTCCACTTTTGTTCTGGGTTCTTGCTGATGCTCCTGGGAAAGCAGTGAAGGTTGCCCCAAGTGCTTGGGCCTCTGCTTAACAAATGGGTGATCCATATTTGGGAAATAAACCAGTAGATATAGGCTCTCTCACACACTCTCTGTCCTCCTTCCATTCCTCTCTGTATCAACACCTTTCAAAGAAATAAATCTTTAAAAAAAGAGAAAATGAAGTTAACTTACAAAGAGTAATGACAACCATATTTTAAAAAGAGTTACGGATTCTGACAAGGAAAAACTATAAATGATCGCATTGAAATGGGATGGAATAGTCTGACTTAGGCAGCCGTGCAGATCACTCAAGTCCATGAGCATATTACTGTCACGTGGTCTCATTGAGAATGATGGAACCCAGTGACCAGCAAAAAACACTCCTTCCAAAAGCTTTTACATTTCAGAAACGATCATTGCATCCTCAGAATGACACGAGGATTGAGAAGCAGTTATGAGGTGCTTTGAGATCCCCAGGAGAGAACTGCTGAAGCTGAGTGGCTGCCGTGTCCCACGGAGGTCCTGTGTCACTGGGACCCGCAGGCCAACAGGTTGCTTACCGGCAGGGTTTTGATCATGTTGAAACCCTGGCTGTCTTTGTGAACTCCTCGGATCCAGTCTTGCATTGGGATGGCTCTGCTGGGGATGTGGTGCATGGTGCGCAGATAGCTGCAGCTGCTCTTCAGCGTGGGCACGATGGTCGTCACAAAACACTCAGTGGATGACTCCCAGGACACCAGCGCCAGGGACGTGGAGCCCTGGAAACATCCAAAGTGAGGGCTCTTTAAAGCAACTCTTATGTACTTAGTTGCTCTTACCCTGTATGTCAGAGTTCTCACCCCTAAGACCTCAGGATACAAGTATATTTACAGAGGCAATGAAGGTAAAATGAGGTCATTCGCTTGGTCCTTGATCTCATATAACTGTGTTCTTGTAAGAAGAGATGAAGGGGGCTGGTGATGTGGTATACCAAGTTAAACTACTGCCTGCCTCACCTGCATCCCGTACAGACCATGGAGCAAGTTCTGGCTGTTCCACTCTCAATCCAGCTCTGTTACTGTGCCTGGGAAAGCTTTGGAAGATGGTCCAAGTATTTGGAGTCTCAGAAGGGGTTCCAGGTTCCTGGCTCCTGTCTTACTCCAGGCCTTTGCAACTATGATGGGGGTAGACTGGAGGGGGGAGAAGAGAAATCTCTTCCTCCTTTTTTATAATTCTGCCTTTCAAACAAATAATCCACCTCCCCCTACTTTTTTAAAGAGTAGATTATGATAGACCCAGCATGGTGAGCAGACAGCCACGACCGAGCCTCCGAGGAAAGCAGCCTGTGGCTTTACAGCCTCTAGAACTGAGCAGGAGTGGGTTTCTGTGGCTGGAATCACCCAGTTTGTGGGGTTTTGTTGGACCAGCCCTCCAAAACTGATTGAGAAGTCAACTCAAGGATATAGGAAAGGAAAGGACTGAAAAAAAAATATCAATACAAATAAACTCTAATCACAGAATCTGAGAATAAATCAAAAGAGGAAATGCATTCTTCTCTGGGAAGAAATCTATTCCAAATATTTGACAAATGAGCCTGGATCCAGGAGCATTTATTAAATTAAACACCATTATTACGTCCTACTCAGTGTCATGGGCTTCTTTTATTGTCTGATGAGCACCTGGGTAACTGTTTTCACAATATAAAGAAAATATTTTCTACTGGCTCACATTTTGCAAAAAAAAAAAAATATTCATCTAGCAATTACTGTATTTCATAAAGATAAGTTTTTGGTAATATTTTATGCACGATGAATATATGAAATCCTTCAACACTTGCATTTGATAAACTTGATAATTTTTGTATGAAATACTTAAATGTTTTTGGAACTTTAAAAAATGTAGAAACAATGGGGCTGGTGCAAGTGGCCTCCTCAGGTTAATCCTCCACCTGCAAGCACTGGCATCCCACGTGGATGCCGGTTCTAGTTCTGGCTGCTCCAGTTCAAATCCAGCTTCCTGCTTGTGGCCTGGGAAGGCAGCAGAGTTTGGCCCAGGCCTTGGGTCCCTGCATCCACATGGGGGACCCGGAAGAAGCTCCTGGCTCCTGGCTTCGGATTGGCTCAGCTCCAGCTGTCGCGCTCACTTGGGGAGTGAACCATCGGATGGAAGATCCTCCTCTCTGTCTCTCCTCCTCTCTGTATATCTGACTTTCCAATAAAAATAAATAAAACTTAGAAAAAAATATGAAAACAGGAATCAAAAGACTACCAAAATGTACTGCATCAGTATAGTTATTACTGTTTCTATATTTTAATCTTTGAGTCTGAGATTAAAACACAAGTTACTTTAAGATATAGAAAGGACACAGTAAAATCCAAAATGTTGGACACTCTGTAGAACAAGTGGCCTGATTTCTGTACCAACTGATGGCAAGGGAACAAAGTCCGCGAAGTATGTTTGTATCTCAATCCAAATAAATCCTCAACCATATACTGGTTTTTGTTGTTGTTGTTGTTGTTGCTGTCAGAATAACAACAAGTAAATAAATTGCCTTTACCCCGAGCTCCTCCTGGCTGTCACAGGCATGTGGAGAGTGGACAACCAAACAAGAGATCGCTCTCTGCCTCTCTGCTTATCTCTCTACCTTTCAAAGAAGTGAAATTTACTAAAATTCAGAAAGATACATATAACTTTTCCTTTTCTCAGTTATGTTGGTGCAAGATGGTTGAAAGAAAAAAAAAGAAAATCTTACTTGTCGTAAAGTTTTGCTGGCTACCGAAATCTCCGCAACATAACTGTCAGTCTCATCAAACAAACCATTGATTTTGACATCTAGCAAAGTTGGGTCTCCGATGAATACATCCAGCAGGGGTGCTTCAAGTGTCTGGAAATCTACAAGGCCAACAGTTCATATCACATACATACATATTCATAATGCTGTCGATGTTCTACAGTCCCAGTCACCTTGAGGTTACGATTTTCATCATGTAATAAACATAAATGCTTCATTCCCTTCTCTCCACCAACTTCATGACGTCTCCTTGCCTTTCCCGCTCAAGCAAAGAAAGCAATATCTTTTTGAAATCTCTCAGAACACTTACCTTTGGAAGTAGGTTTGATCTTAACCTTTAAATTCTGAGAGTTTCCCAAATCAATGTATTTCACGGTGTTGAGGGATAGTGAGTCATCGGGTTGTTGAAACCAATGGTTGCATGGCTTTGAAGATATATTCCACGCTCGCCCATTCCTTTGCCCAAAGTTGTATAAGACCCAGGAGTCCTTCAGCAACAGCGTGAGGTTGAGGGCTTGTTTGGGCATGGTGGCAACAGCTACAGCATTCTTAGCATCTAAAATAGCTGTGATGAGGAAGCTACTGTGACCAGGAATCACCACGGTCTTCTCGATATCTGTGTCTTGAAATGAGGCATTGGCAACTAGAGTGAAAGAGAAAAGATCTGATAATAACAGAACTGATGTTCACCAAACACGCTGGGACAGAGTCCACAAACGGACTATTCCAGTTTAAAACTGCAAATGTTAGCCAGAGAAAACATTTGCCCATTTGTCATTCTAGTGATTTTTAAAGAATTTGTTTACTTATTTGTATTTCTATGAAAGGTGGAGCAGGGGGGATAGATATCTTTTATCCACTGTTTTATTCCCAAAAACTCTACCTTTCAAATCAGTCAACTAACCGATCAATCATGAAAAAAAAAAAAAGAGTTAAAGAGAGCCTCATACTTCCCATGACTACACCAATCCACTCTCCTAATTTAAAGTCCTTTCCAACATTCCTCTTTATAGCGAAATTCCTGGAAAGGGTTACCTTTGGTCATTGTCTTCTGGCGAGATAATCCGTGACTTTCACACAGATCCACTAATCAGCTTTCTTTCTTTAAAATTTTGTTCTTTGGAAATATTGTTTACATAGTTGAGAGGAATGCATGCCCGTGTGGGCCTGGACTGTGATATGGAAGTGAGAATTGTCAGGTCCAGGATGGTAGCTGGGATGGGACAAATTTTTCAGCTTTTTTTTTTAATCCTATGTCTGAAGAGGAAAAGTGGGTGGGGGTTGCTCCTTGGACCACTGTCAAACTACATCAGCACTCAGGGATTGGGACAGTCATTTGAAGACACCTTAGAGACCCTGATGAGGGGAATAATGTCCTGAGGATGTCACTTGAGTGGTTTTGATAGTTCTGGGGCTCAGGGGTTCTGCCCCCTCCTTGAAACATCATTTTTGTTTGGCTTCCAAGGCAGGCTCTTTCACAGCTTTTCTCTGAACAGATAATTTCTTTCTTTCTTTTTTTTTTCTTTAAGATTTATTTATTTTTATTGGAAAGGTAGATTTTATAGAGAGGAGGAGAGACAGAGAGCAACATCTTCCATCTGGTAGTTCACTCCCCCAGTGGCTGCAATAGCCGGAGCTGAGCCGATCTGAACCCAGGAGTTTCTTCCAGGTCTCCTATGTGGTGCAGGGTCCTAAGGCTTTGGGCCATCCTCCACTGTTTTCCCAGGCCATAAGCAGAGAGCTGGATGGGAAGTAGACAGCATATGAACTGGAGCCCATATGGGATCCTGGCACATGTAAGACAAAGACTTTAGCCATTAAGCTTCTGTGCTAGGCCTGATAATTCTCACTTCCATAACACCAGTCCAGACTTTTACCCTAAAATTTAAACTTCCATGTCTTTTAAAAATTTGAGAGATGAAATACATATGCATATATATATATATGTATATTTACATATATATACACATACCCACACACACTGAAGTGGAGCAACTGGGGCACAAACTGGCACCCACTTGGGATCCTGGCAAATGGAAGGTAACAAACCCATTGCACTGACCTGATAGGTTCCTAACTGGGTTAAAACTTGAAACTATCGCTCTATGAATGGGTATGAACGCTCGTCTCAAAATACATTTTCATTTCTTCTAGCCATCAGAGATGTAGTATATTGTTACACTTACTTTGTGAGTCAAGAGTAAGTTTATAGAAGTCTCCATATTCACTGACACTTAGGGAACTGGACAAACACGAGCTCTCATTCACCTCTTCTATTCCAAAGGGCTCTCTCAATTCTGTGATAATTGAGGACAAAAATCCTTTGGGCGTGTCATGGTGCAATACCTTTCTTATATAAGCTGTTCCAGTTTTACTAAAAAAACAACCAAAAAACCCGTTAAGCAACTGAGATAAAGCAGTCTCTCATGTGTGCAAATTGATAAACGTAATTTACAAATACATAACAAATGACTACAAATGAATATTTAATAGCATTCATTGAACCTCACTAGTGGCCAGTGAAGTGGCCACTACAACAATGGGATAGTTTTCTACCTCTAAAACTTGTATTTTTATTAAAATTTTTATTTGAGAAACAAACCTGGGGAACAGCACATCTCATCTGCTGATTCATTCCCCCAGTTGGTTGGGGCCAAACTGGAGTCAAAGCCGGGAGGTGAGAACTCAACCTTGGCCTCCCACATGGGCAGCAGGAACTTAGTTATTTGAGTTATCATGGCTGCCTCCTACATTTAGCAGGAAGGCACATTCAGCAAGTGGAGCTGGAAATGGAAGCCAGTTACTGGGATGTGAGACTTGGGCATCCTAACCTCTAGGCTAAAGGTGTGCCTTATCAAATCATGAAAAAAAATATATATATAGATATTCCCCCCCCCAAATCTGTAACAGCAAGAGCTGGGCCAAGCTGAAGCCAGGATCCGGTAGCTTCATCTTGGTCTCCACGTGGGTGGCAGCTTCTCAAGGACTGGGCTCACTGGCCACGGCCTTCCCAGGCACATTGGTGGGGAGCTGGAGAGGAAGCAGAGCAGCTGAGGTTCCATAGGGGATGACGGTGCCACAAGTGGTGGTTGAACCAGCTGTGCCACAGGTGTGTAAATGGCAGCGTCCAGGAGTGATGTCAACTGAGAAGAAATGGATAGCTACCCACTACTAAGAGGATGATAAACTAATTCAAGTTTCCTAGAAAACTGTATGGTGTTACACATGAAAAGTGCTGATATTTCGGCCTGTGACTACAGCTCTATCCTGAGGGGATAAATTGGAACATGGATCATGGAAGAGTTACTGGCAGGGTTGGCCAGGGGAATGGAAGCTTTCTACACAAAGACATTCTCCACTGCTTTACGGTAAATGTTAGAAATAAGAAATGCCACCCACAGACAAATCCTGTAACACAGACGGCATGATTTACTTAGAGGAAATGTAAGTATTAAATAATGCATATATAGAGTTTTACGTACACAAGGAAGACGGCAAAATGAAAACAGTCACACAAAGCAGAAAGCCCTAATAGGCAATTCATCCAAGTGTTGACAGTCATGGTTTCAATTGTATCATTTATGTGTGCTTTTGAGGACACTTCTGTCATGAACAAGTGTCAGCATATGATCAAGAAAAACAGCACTCCTTGGATTTTTTGGCTAAGAATAAGGGCAATATGTATATGTGTTTACATAGCTAGCATCTATTCCTTTGATCATATCATAGCATATATTGAAATGTCATGCTGTGCCCTGCATTCATATAAAATTACTATGTCATTTATAAATAAAAATATTTAAAAAATAAATTTGATTTTTAAAAGATTTATTTGTTCTATATGAAAGACAGAGTGCCATTTCTTTCTGTCTTCCACCACCCCTCAGTGGTGGTGATGGTTGAGGCAATACGAGGCTGCAGCCAGGAGACTTGAACTTCTTCTGGCTCTTCCATGTGGGTTGTATGGGACCATGTACTTGGGCCATCTTCCTGTTAGTTAGACACAACAGCAAAGAGCTGTTGGGCCCAGGAAAGCTTTAAACATTTCATCTCCAAGGGTGCTTTTCTGTTTTGAACCTTCATTATTTAGAGCAAGTTGTTTTTCTTGTTGCTTTAAAAGGTTTGGAATTTTTATTTTTAATTAAAATTTTCTGCTCTACCTACTCAGATTTTTCATATACAGCGTTTCAGAACATAGCACCTCGAAACATCAACCACAGCACATCACTTGCTTGTAGTGGAAGACACTTAATAAAACACACAATTGTAGATACAGAAACAATACTCAGACCTTCCTTGGAGCAGAGACAAACTCCCATGTGGAAGACATCCACCAAGCACCTGGACAAAGACATCTGTCTCACCAGGACGGGGAGTGAAGTCAAGTGGGTTCGGATTGTTGAAGAGATCTGTCCGTTCTTAGTCACTTCTCATGGTGAGCCCCACTTCTCATGGTGAGCCCCACTTCTCATGGCCCCAGCCCCAGCCTGGTCGACCGTGTTTTGTCTGCCTCCATGTGTAAGCGTGCTTCTCTGGGTCTTTGTTTCTTTATGAGGGCTCTCCTGTCACATAAAACCTGTGATTTATAAAACTTACAGCTTATGCTTTCCCCTGTTAATTTGTCTTATGTCAGTTTAATTCCCAGGCCCAGACATAAAACCTCTGAGTGTAGGGGTGATATATCGCCGTCTCTACAAAATGTTTACAAAAATTGAAAGTAAGGGATGGCTTAGCCTGAAGCCATAAATAAAATGTCAAGCAATTGCAAAACACAAACTTTCAAGGAACAGAAAATTCCAATGTAAGCAAACTTAAAAAAAAAAAGCATTTGTTTATGAAGCCAGAATCATCTTCTCAACAAAACCATACAATGTGAGAAAGGAAAAAGGGAATTCAAGATGGGGAAATAAGAGGCTATTTCACTCAAGGACACAGACACCACCGTTCCTAGACGGGATTCAGACATGAGTAAAGATGACAGAAAGGTCATGGTAGCTTGATTTCACGGCTTGATGGTTTTTGGTTCAACATTAAGTTTACAACACGATTCACACAGTCAATTAAAAGGTTAGCAGGGAAACGCTGTATATGAAAAATCTGAGTAGGTGGAGCAGAAAATTTTAATTAAAAATAAAAAATTCCAAACCTTTTAAAGCAATAAGAAAAACAACTTGCTCTAAATAATGAAGGTTCAAAACAGAAAAGCACCCTTGGAGATGAAATGTTTAAAGCTTTCCTGGGCCCAGAGCGATGGCTTATTGGCTAAATCCTCACCTTGCTCATGCCAGGATCCCGTATGGGTGCCAGTTTGTATCCTGGCTGCTCCACTTCCCATACAGCTCCTTGCTTATGGCCTGGGAAAGCAGCGGAGGATGGCCCAAAGCCTTGGGACCCTGCATCTGCGTGGGAGGCCTAGAAGAAATTCCTGGCTTCTGGTTTCAGATCAGCTCAGTGCCAACTGTTAAAGTCACTTGAAGAGTGAACCAGTGGATAGATCTTTCTCTGTGTCCTTCTGTATATCTGACTTTACAATAAGAAAATAAAATCTTTAAAAAAATTTGCCTTTTGGGCCCGGCATAGTGGCCTAGCGGCTAAAGTCCTCGCCTTGAACGTGCCGGGATCCCAAATGGGTGCCAGTTCTAATCCTGGCAGCCCCACTTCCCATCCAGCTCCCTGCTTGTGGCCTGGGAAAGCAGTCGAGGACGGCCCAAAGCTTTGGGACTCTGCACTTGCATGGGAGACTTGATTCCTGGTTCCTGGCTTCAGATTGGCACAGCACCGGCTGTATATCTGACTTTCCAATAAAAATAAATAAATCTTAAAAAAAAAAGAAAAAAATTATACTGTTTTAAGAGATTATACTATTTAAAAAATTATACTATTTTAATTTTAAGAAATTATACTATTCTTAAGAAAGAAACAAAAGAAAGTATTTGCAGGTGATATGATTATCTCCCAATATCTATCTCTACTATAAAAACTTAAAAGAACATGCAGTGGAAAGTACTTGAATTATTAAAAAAGAAAAAATCAACTTTGCAAGTTAGACAAATATAAGCTCAGCATATAAAATATGACAGTTTATTTTAGAAGGAGAAAAGATGCAACCCAACAAGAAAAGAAACATAAAGTTATCAATTTCCTTAAAACCATAAGATAACCAGCTACTCTGAACTGTGGACCAAACCACGTGGAGCAAACATCTAACACCCGGCCAGCCTCGCTGCAAGACAACAGATCATGTGATTAAGAATCAGCCAGATTAAAAAAAAAAAAGATTAGTAAATAAAAACAAAATAAAAAGTATTAAAACAAAACCCAAATGGCATTCTATTTTTATAATTAGGGTATCAGGGAAACTATAATGGATTCTATAAATGTACACTCATATTTGATTTTAGCCTTGTGGCATAAAAAAAAAAGACTCTATTTGCCTAAAAAAGAAAAAGAAGACTTAAAAAAAGTGCGCTCAACATTTAGAATCTAAGAAGCAGAACTCGATTAGAGAAAGTGTGAAGCAAATTACTACCTGAAGTGGATCAGCTTTCCAAGGTGGATGTTCTTGAATTTCTTGGTGTGTTTCGTTTCTTCCGGCTCGTTTGGAGGGACGTATGCAAAAAAGAGCATCTCGTTTAAGGAAATATACTGAGGAGCAAGTGCAGTCTCGAAGCCCATATCTGGAGGCTGGGGTCAGGAAAAAGCAAGCCTTTCCTTTAGACTGCTTCATACTTCAGTCACGATAAAATGCAAACGGCAGATTGATTTCCAGCCCACGTGGAAGCAGCTGGGCTTCCCTTCTGCGTGGGGGATAATGCTCAACACGTTCTCCTGAATATCCACGTGTGTGTGCAAGGGCAGAGGCACTTTTCTGCTGAGCAGGAAAGCAATGATGGTCCAGCGGCACACCCTTTGCAGATGGCTGCAGCAGCAGATGGGATAAGGCTGGGGTGCGTTACTATTGGGCGCGGCAGTTAGGAAAGCGGCCTATGGAATGGCTCTCCTTTGAAAGCTGTCTCTCCCATTTCCTGCCAGAGACTCCGCAGGGAGCCTCCGCTTCCTGACTCCGTGGCTGCGTCCCTTCCCCATGCCTCTGATTCACAGGCTTGCCTTTGTAGTCAGGGCACTCATCTTGGGCCTACATTTCTGACCTGTAGATCCTCCCAACATAACCCTTCTCCAATTCTGATTCTTCCTAGCTTTGACAGCTACTAGGGGTGGGGATCCACCCTGAAGGAGATTTTGGGGTTGACCTGATTTGCTAGGGAACATAATTAATAGGACATACTGGTTGGGGCCATGTCCCAAAATAATGCCTCTAAGGTTATCATGTTTTCTATTTTTGCTAGTTGAGTAGAGGACTGAACTAATGCTCGAAGGCCCTTGAACATTACTGAAAATGCTGGAAATTATAATTCTCTTATGACATTCTAGACTTGGAAAGGCAAGAGTGTCCTATGCAATGTATATGCAAGTCCAATAAATGGTTAAAAGGACAGGCCTCAAAGCCAGTTGTCTGGGACAGATGCTTGACTCTGAGAGGTAACTGGTTATGTAATTTAGGGTAACGATCTGGCCTCTCTACACGTCCCTTTCTTGAGAGGTGAAATGAGGCGGGCTCGTCATTACCAAGATTGAGCACACACGGAGCCTGGCGCAGAGGAGTCAGAGAACACAGGGATGGCCTGTTTGTGTAGAGGGAGGGAATGCGTCGAGTGTGAGCTTAAAAATGGTAATGTTTATAATTTATGATGTTAGAGAACAAACACACTTTCTACAAATTGTGCTTGAGTCTCTGCCAGCCCCATGGGAGACCCTACCAGAGCTCTGGGCCTGTGCCAGCCCCATGGGAGACCCTACCAGAGCTCCAGGCTTCTAGCTTCAGCCTGGTCTGGTCCAAGCCATTTGGAGAATAAACTAGAAGATGGCAGATCCTCTCTGTGTCTCTGACTTTGAACTAAAGTAGTTAATTTTTTTAAAAAAAGGCAAGAATCAAATGCAAGGCAATCTGCTTTAATGATTATACCACTTACCTGTCCAAAAATATTTTCAGAATTTTTTGAGGTGTGGACTGACCCACCAGCAGCAAAGTGATCTGGACTCAGTTTATGTATGAATCCCAAGTGGTCATAGTATAATGTGAAAATTTTATCAGCAACACGTCCGATTTCACTATATTTTCTTAATCCTATTAGGAAATAAACAGAGGTTTACTAATATAGATACAACTAGAAAAATTTTAATTTCATGCATTGCAAAAACTTCATTTAAAGCTTTGAGACTCTCAAATTAGCAAAATCTATGTCAGTTTTGCTGAGTCCCTGAAAAGTCTCTTCCAGGCTCTGTATCCCAACAGAACCTGTTTACTGAAACAGGTGAAGGACCTAGTCCAGGAAAGAATCAAACCTTGAACTTTAAAATCTGTCTATTCTGAGGGCACATATACAGTTGCTGCAGCATCCTCAGGTTCAAAAATCCTGAGCCAGAACATCATTGATGCGGAATCTTAGCACTTGATTCCCCGTCTTGTGCCTTCTGATGGGTCTGCTGGGCTCCAAGATTGTGCCTATATCCTGCTCAGCCTGTTCAAACTTCAGGCCAAGACCAGTTGGGGCCCAGTACCATGGCTCAATGACTAAAACCCTCACCCTCACCTTGCAAGTGCCTGGATCCTATATGGGTGCTGGCTCATGTCCCAGCTGCTTCACTTCCCCTCCACTCCCTGCTTATGGCCTGGAAAAGAAGTCAAAGATGGCTCTAAACCTTGAAATTCTGCACCCATGTGGGAGACCCTGTTTTGGATTGGCTCAGCTCTGGCCATAGAAGCTATCTGGGGAGTGAACCAGTAGATAGAAGATGTTTTTCCTTCTGCCCCTGTTTCTCTCTATAAATCTGAGCTGGCTTTCAAATAAAATAAATACATCTTGAAAGAAAGAAAGAGAGAGGAAGAAAGAAAGAAAGAAAGAAAGAAAGAGAAAGGAAGGAAGGAAGGAAGGAAGGAAGGAAGGAAGGAAGGAAGGAAGGAAGGAAGGAAGGAAGGAAGAGAGAGAAAGAAAAGCAGCTGAACAATGGTGAGTCGTCCCCCTTCCCTCCCACCCCAGGGCCCTGTGATCTGGATTCCAACCTCTCTGAACTCTTCTGTAACTTTCTGGGCTGCTTCTCTCCCTCAGGCGGCCACACCAGCCCCAGGTCATCTGTGCCCACCATCTTAACATTGATCTTGGGGACAGCTTTGCTTCTTTCTCTCCTACCCCCCCCCCCCCTTTTTAAAAAGTGGACAGTTCATGCCTTTCTAGGTGAATTTAGGCCTCCAGTACAAAAATACAAGTGGAGGTGGCCTGCTTTCCTTGTCTTGCTTCTGCAGCAAAAGCTTTTAACGTGTTACTCTAAAATCTGCTCTTTTCTATAATTCTTCCCCTCAACTGGTCTTCTCCCCTGAAACTCTATTTTTTTTTTAAAGATCTATTTATTTTTATTGGAAAGTAAGATAGAGAGGAAAAGAGACAAAGAGGAAGATCTTCTGTCTGATGATTCACTCCCCAAGTGGCTGCAGCGGCCAGAGCTGCGTCAATCTGAAGCCAGGAACCAAGAGCCAGGAGCTTCCTCCAAGTCCCCCACAAGGTGCAGGGTCCCAAGGCTTTGGGCCGTCCTTGACTGCTTTCCCAGGCCACATGCAGGGAGCTGGATGGGACGTGGGGCTGCTGGTATACAAACCAGTGCCCACATGGGATCCCAGCGCATACTAGGTGAGGACTTTAGCTGCTAGGCTACCATGCTGGGCCCTCTCCTCTGAAACTCTTAAAGAGCGTATCTTCTATTCTTGGTTTGCTACATGCTATTTCTTTAACTATTTACTTATTTTTCTTCATTTGGAAGGCAGATTCTCTCTCTTTCTCTGTCTCTCTCTCACACAAGTCTTTGCAGGCTTGCAATTAAAAAACAATTAAACTACTTCAGTTGTTCTCAGCAGTCAGGTTGTGGCATGACTAGAAACCCAAGTCTGCTGGAAGTTGTTCTGTAGATAACCTGACTCGTTGTACCATCACACATCCAGGTGCCTTATGGTAAGCTTTGTGCTATCTGCATCTTTCTCCTTCACATTTGTCGCTTACCCCCATTAATTCATTTCTAATTAAACATTATTCCCGCCATGTCTTTGGCCACTTTGCTAATCCAGATCCTCACTAGCTTTCTTAAAATTTTAAAATAGGCTTTAAACATATCACTCAGTAAAAAAAACAAAAAACAAAAAAACTCATATTTTCTAGTTTGTTTCTCACTTTGTGCTTCCTTGATACAAATATGATTAACTAAAGGAACCTCACTATGATCTGAAATTCTTTATCTTGACGCAAATGGAAAACTGGCTGTGGTTTATCTTTCTGTCATTGCCAATGCGTCAACGGAGACGACCCCTGTATCCTGTTGCTGCCTTATACCGTGTCTCTGCACACTCAGCGCTAACCCGAATCCTCCATACGGAATGTTCCCTTGAACTCTGACCTCGACCTTAACGTATGGCAGACTTAACATCGTTAATTCAAACTTTCTCCCTCGGCAGCATCTTATTTCTCCTGGTGCCTACTGCAGTTCAATATTTGTGTGCTTTATTGATTCATGAATATTTTGAGCTTTGAGATTTTACAACACAACAGCTACTCTGCTTATTAAAAACGTTTGACCTAAAATGATGTAGCTTTGTCTGAATATCAAAAGTCTGGCCTGTGCTTTTCCAATTGGAAGTGCGTGATTTTTCAAGTCTTTATGGGTAGCATTTTTCTGTAATCTTGGCTTAAGTTTTTCTTTCTAGAAGCATTTGAAGACTGGAAAATCTAGAGACTGCCTTTAGTGGGGGAAGGTAGAGGACTTTTGGATCCACAAAGGGCTCACTGCTCTTCTTTCTCATATCTGCTCACACAGCTGCTCACAGAACTCAGTCCTGGCTGCAACCTTGCCCGTTCTGCAGAGCAGCACACCTTCCCCGGCACTTCCTGCTCGTCTCCCTCGCCTTCCGCCTTCCGCCTCCCTGGACGCGTCTGACATTTGTCTATTCTGAATTTGTTAATCATCAGTCTCTCCTGACAAGTGTGTAAGTGCCACGGAGAAGGATGACTAGGGACTAGGATGGTGTGTGGTAGCGAGAGGTCCCCAGACGCTCTGGAACAGGTGACTATGTAATATTTATGCTAAGGGCAGACTGTGTCTTCTTTTGGTTATTTTAGTTCAAGTTGCTTACAATTTCTGCTTTATTTTTCTTTCCCAGTTTTTCATGTCTTATTTTGCATACATTATTTGGTATATTTTTGATTTTAAAAATTATTTATATTATAAAACCGATTTAAAAATTCTAGATGATCACAATGAAGGACTTTAGAGAAATCCTAAATACAATCATGTGAGAAAAGAGTAATTTAGGGCCCAGCGTGGTAGCCTACTGGCTAAAATCTTTGCCTTACATGCACTGGGATCCCATATGGGTGCCAGTTTATATCCTGGATGTTCCACTTCCCTTCCAGCTCTCTGCTTGGGAAAGCAGTAGAGGACGGTCCAAAGCCTTGGGACCCTGCACCCGTGTGGGAGACCTGGAAGAAGCTACTGGCTTCACCTCAGCTCAGCTCCAGCCAGTAAAGCCAGTTGGGGGAATGAATCAGCAGATGGAAGATCTTTCTTTGTGTCTCTCCTTCTCTTTGTAAATGTGAATTCCAAATAAAAATAACAAAAAAAGAGTGATTTATCCACTATAATTGAGGATGGAAAGTCTAGAATGTTTTGGATTCAAGATCTTATTCCATCCTGAATCTTTGAAAAGATTCCTTCCTGAATATTTTACCAGTAGGTACTGAGAGACTGTCACCACATTTTACTTCAGAGATCAATAATATTCTGTTACCACCGCGGAAACATAATGAGTTCAGGCCTTTGCCTTATTGTCCAGTGAGATCTTCAATAGCAAAATTTTCCTATATGGCCACTATGGTTCTATGTGCTGTATTCATTGGAAGACAAGATCCACTTTTCACGTTTCAACATCTTTAGGTATCTTACAAGAATGGTCCACTGGGTGGCACTCACAGCATGGTGGTCAGTCACTTGCCTGCACGTGACTCTACTTTGTCTCAGCTGTCTGTACCTTCATAGCTTTGCATTTCCTGAATTTCTGGACATGAGCTGAATTTTACTAATGCTCAAAATGCCTGAAAAATACTGCATTATAATTTGTGCTTGAAACAAGCTGCTGTGGGTACAGTGAGACAGAACACAGAGCAGCAGGTATTACCAATAAAGCCAGTGTCCCTAGAGGAATTACAACAATTTCAGATTGCAATGGTAGAATCATCAGTTGTTTTATAGAATCTAAGAAAGGAAAGAACCCAGGGGTGGGTGAAAAATTGCATGTGTTTTACTGCTGACATGCAGTCACACACCCAACAACATACCCACAGGCAGGGGCAGTTAGGGCATACTGTTTTGGCCTTGTGGTCAAAACATCAGTAGGAACTTTCACTTGCACTCAGACTGACAGGAGCTGTGCAGACCCAACCCCCGACATAACATGATCATCTCATCAAGGAGACGGAGAGCACTGTATCATCCATGTGCACGTTACCCCCGCTACTGGTTACGCCATCGCAGCTATGTCAATTTCATTAGCAACAGAACGTAAGAGTCGCCAAAGTTGACAAGACTACTGTGAACATTAAATGAGATATTTGCAGCATGCTGAGCACAGCTGTGGCTTGTAAGTGGCAGCTATTATTTCCTGAATAAGCAAGCATTATTGAAGTTATAAAGGAAAATCCAGTGTGGCAACGCAGGATTTCCTTTCTCTGGGGCCTTCATAGGATCCAACTTCTTTAGTATTTTTTTTAAAGATTCATTTTATTAGAAAGGCCCTTTACAGAAGAGAAGGCAAGACAGACAGAGATCTTCCATCTGCTGGTTCATTTCCCAAATGGCTGCAATGACCAGAGCTGAGCCAAACTGAAGCCAGGAGTCAGGAAGTTCCTCTGGGTCTTCCACGAGGGTGCAGGGTCCCAAGGCTTTGGGCCATCCTCCACTGCTTTCTCAGGCCACAAGCAGGGAGCAGGGTGGGAAGCAGAGCAGTTAGGACATGAACCAGTGCCTATATAGCATGCTGGTACTTGTGGGTGGAGAATTAGCCTGTTGAGACACAGCACTGTCCCCCTTCTGTAGGTCCTATAACACCCTTCTCAAACCTGAAAGGCTGGATACTTCAGGACTAGTAAGTTAATAAAGCAAATTATTCTTTTTGTCTTCTAATTCCCAGCCTACACATACAGCCTACCCCAATACCAGCAAACTCCTTACCTGCTTTTGTCAAGTATGCCTTTCCACTCGTGGAAACAAAAACAATGTCTGAGGTGTAAAAGCTATGGTACGTTGTCTTTATGATGTCACCGTGAAAGTCATCTATTAAGTCGAAGGTGTTGCCACCATCCACTGAAAGCCAAACCTGGGGGAACACAGAGATGAGACGCCCTGAAGAGCTGCCGCAGAGCAGTCAGTCGGCAGCTGCCCATCAGCTTAACCTTCCTGTGTGCAAAGTCATGGGCACCATCCTTCCCCTGCCCTCTGTCATCTCCTGCACCTATCCCATCCCACATGTGCAAGCTCCTTACCTGTTTCTTGCTCTCTTTGCATCCTAGGGTCCATGAGATGGCTGTGTTTGTAGCAGAGTGCCAGGTCTACACAGTGTGCATACTGAGTATAGGCAAGACACAGGCCCTTTATCTAGCAAACAGAGTTGCCTGTGTCACAGGCAGAAGGAATCCTGGAAGTATCTGGATTCACTTCATACTAAAATGAAATTTCACCTTCTTGTTAACTGGTAGATAAGGACCCAAACATACTTTCTATGAAAGAGCCTCTTGTTATTTGCAAGAAATGTGTTCTGGGATCTTACGAAGTCTCAGATCATTACACCCACTGCAGTCTGCAAGGCTGTTATCCTTACTTACTGTTCCTTTGTAACTCAGGGACAGAGAGCCCTCCCACCTGCTGGTCCAGTTCCCAAAGGCCAACAGTGTTTGGCACTGGGATAGACCAAAGCTGGCAGTCAGGGGCTCAGTCCAGGTGTTCAGCTGCTTGAGCCACCATCCCTGCTTCCTTCCAGGGTGTGCATTTAGAAGGAAGTTACAACTGTGAGCAGAGATGGGATTTGACTCTAGGATCTCAGAAATGGAGTGTGGGCATCTGAAGCAATGTTTTAACTGCTAGACCAAGTGCCCACCCTACAAGCATATCTGTTGACACTCCACAGATGGCTGCAAAGGCTGGGGCTGGACCAGAGCCAGGCTGGAGCCAGCAGCTTCTTCTGGATCCCATAAGGATGGCAAAGGCCTATGCACCGGGCCCTCTTCTGCTGCTTTCCCAGGCTCATTAGCAGGCAGCTGGATTGTGAGCAGAGCAACCGGGTCATGAACTGACAGCCATTTGGGATGCCTTGATACGGATGCTTCCACAAACTTACCCTTTTATGCTTTCCATGACCTTGTGGAAGTATCTTCATTTTTTTTCTTTATTAAAAGCGTAATAGTCCCACACATTGTCTTCTAGAACTTATTTCCTCCATCAACATTTATTTTCTAGCTTTCTTATCTATTGCAAATTCCTGAGTTCATTGTTTCCAGTGTTGCATAACAGATTGCATAATGTGGATAAACCGTAATTTAAACTGTACTGTATCCATCCTCCTATTTATAGATACCTGATTATTTTCAGTTACTTAACACTATTGCTGACAGTGCCAATATGAACATTTAAAAAAAGCATCCTCACATGCTTCCCTCACTGAAAAGTGAAATTAATGGGTTATGAAATATGTAAATGCTCAAATTTATAGGGTAATAATAATGCTAAATTACTCTCCAAAATAGTTGCAGTGATTTATGCTGTTCTCAACAGAGAGTAAATGTTGCAGCCGAGCCTCGCTGTCTCCAGCATTCTGTGCTGTCAGCATTCAGCCACGCCAGTCCCTGAGACGGACAGCCTTCCCGATCCTTGGTCAGTACGTCCCCGGCTGCTTCTGAGTGATATCCCCTCTTCATGTTGATTCCATTTGTGCCATCTTCCCTGGGAAATCTCTGCCGGTGTCTCTTTTTCACGTTGCTTTGTAGGAATTCCTGATTCTCACCTTGAGTTACTTCTCAGGGTGCAAATATCATCTCCCAGCTTGTAGTGTATATATTTTTTCACTTCCTAAGATATCTTCAATGAGTAAACATTTTTTCTCTTTGGTAGGGGAGCCAGTGGAGGATGCAGAATACTTCATTATTTGTTTTATTTCTTTTTCTTTTCTTTTTTTTTGTGTATTTTGAATAAGAGTCCTTCAACTAATATGCCTTTTACCAATAATCTCATATCCTGTGGTTTGTCTTTGCATTTTTTCGACAATTTTTTTTCACGGAGCAATTTTTAAGGAGGTTCACACCATCAATCATTCTTTTAAAAAGAGTTATTTGTTTATTTGAAAGAGCTACAAAGAAAGAGAGCAAACAAGATCTTTTACCTGCTTGTTCACTCTCCAAATAGCTGCAACACTGGACCTTGGCTGGTTTGAAGCCAGGAGCAAGGTTCTCCCCCCATATGGGTGCAGGGGTCCCAACACTCGGACCATCTTCTGCCACTCTTCCAGGCACATTAAGGGAGCTGATTTGGAAGTGGAACAGTTGGAACCTGAACTGGTGCCTATATGGAATGCCTGCTTAGCAGGTGGAGCTTTACTCTGTGCCACAGCGCTGGCTCCAGTTGTTTCTCACATAGGTAGCGCCTTCATTATTACATCTAAACTGTTACCTCGAAACCCAAAGTCATATACCTTTTCTTCTACATTATCTTTTAAAGAATCTATAATTTTGCATTTTATATATTTAGGTCTGTAATACATTTATTCATTTAATAGAGGGCGATTGGGGGAGAAGAGAGCTATCTTATCTGAATGCCCCCCTTTCAAATCCCTGCAACAGGCTTGGGTAGTGCTGGCAGCTCTAGGAACTCAATCCAGGTCTGCCATGTGGGTGGCAGGAGCCAAACTGGCTAATTGATCATTACTGCCTCTCAGGACCTGCATCAGAGGACGGCTGGAGTCAGGAGCCAGAGCTGGGAATCGAACCCAGGCATTCTGATGTGGAATTCAGGCAGCCTGAAGCAGTAACTTAGCCACTGGGTCCGACGCCTACCCGCCCCTAGTTTTGAGGAGTGCAGATTGTGTCTAGTTTTTTTTTTTTTTGTAAGTGGATGTCCATCATTCCAACACCATTTGTTGAAGAGATAATCTCTGCCTGTAGTAGCTGTGATTCTACCACTTTGAAGAGCTCTGTTGTTTTGTTTTGGATCTTTTTTTGCTCCTCTGTTTTTCCACTTTCGGCAGCTTCAATTGAGATGTCCTCAAGTTCAGGGCTTCTTGGTCTGGACCCATCCAGTTGATTAATAAGCTCATCAAAGGCATTTCTCATTTCTGTTATAATGTTTTTGTTCTCTAAATGTTTTTTTTTTTTTAGTTCTTTCATAAAACATTCATTCCTCTGCTTACACTGTCCATTTGTTCTGTCTGCTTGATCCAGTCCAGCTGAACCCTCAGCATCTTAATCACAATCGTTTCAAATTCTCGGTTTATCAAGTCCAACATCCCTGCCATATGTGAGTCTCTTTGATGCAGGCTCTGTCTCTCTGCAATGTGTTTGCTTTTTTGAGTATGTCTTGGACATGCTTCTTGATAGCCAGACTTCATGACTGAGTAAAAGCACCTGCTGTGATTAGGCCATTAGTAATGAGATGAGAATGTGTAGGGGGAAAGTGGTCTGCAGTCCTCTCTTTTCAACATTTATTTCTGAGAGAGAGAGAGAACACAGAAAAATCTCCCACTGCTGGTTCACCCTTCAAGACCATATTGGCTGGGCCTGTTCTGTGTCAAAGCTGGAAGCTAGGATCTCAACCTGGATTTCCCACGTGGACAGCAGGGACTGAGCAACATGAACCACCCCAGGGCACACATCTGCAGGAAGCTGGGACCAGGAGTGTAGCTGGGACTCTGGCACTTTGATGTGGGAGCTGGGTTTTCTAACTGCTGTCTTCTTCGTTGGCCCAGATACCTGCCCAGGATCACAATCTCTCAGCAGGCCCCTGTTTCTGGACTGTGACCATTCCATGTGCTTCCCAGTGTCCTGGGGTTGTGTGGCTGCTTCCGTTCCTTGGCTCACTGAGGCACTGATAAGAGCTCAGCTCAGTAAAAAGTTCCGCAGAGGGCAGACCTTGGTAATAATAAATTACTCAGCATATTTCTAAACTCCTTCTCCTTTCCCTCTCCCAGACAGTGGCACAGAGCTTCCTCTGGTAGTCACTGGGAGAATGTGGCAGAGCTCCAGCAGTTGAAACTCAAAAGCGTAGGGGTTACTGATGGCTTGCTTATATCGGAGCATTTTCTCTCTCAGACTTGTCCATGCTGAGCTTCTGGCAGTGGCCAGTTATGGCTCCAGTTACTAGGTGATGAAGACTTTTCAATGTTACACGCACCACATGACCATACAACATACATACAGCAGTGTGTAACATTGACATGACAATTGTTGCATACATAAGTCAACCTGGATGCCACAAGATGGCAACTGGGTTCCTGGCATCAGCATAACAATAAAAATATCAGGGACCAGGGGAAGAAGAAGTACGGGATTTAACCAGTTCATGTGAGATTAGAACGAGGCAAGGGGTTTCAAGAAGAGCTTGGACACAGAGCATCACTTTATGATTCTTCAAGAATTCATTACTTTCAGCAGGAAGTCCCTGCAAACTTTTCTTGGTTCTTAATTTGTTTACTATTTAATGTTTTGTGTTCCTTGCTTTTAAACTGCCTGATGTCCCCACAGATGGCATCATTATTGCTAAGCTCTCAGGCTATTGAACAGAGAGTGGACTCAATGGGACAGAGAGGATGAAGAATATTATGAGAAGTAGCTTAGAGAACAACACAGTTAGAAAATCTAGCTTAGGCAAAGACAAATAAAGAAAATCAGACATTAGATGCTGGAAATACCAGATACAAACATGCGCTTAGTAGATTAGTGGCCAAAAAATCTAGGTTATTTAGAGTTGTAAAAGATACATGATAGCTGGCGAAGTTCAAGGTATCAGAATGGACATTTTAGCACACATTGAAGAATCAACGCCTAGTCACTGCCTTCCTCCTGTGCCCACCTCTCCCCCTCACTGCAGTGTCTGTGTTCTGTGCACAGCCATTCAACATGGAATTCGTGGCTGACTTTCCCCACTGCCCAGGTGCATCCCGTGCATCCCTACCTGATTACCATACACGTAGAGAAAGTGACTGCGGGGATGAAATACCATTCCAACTGGAGAGGTGAATGAGGAAGGAAACACGAAGACGGGAAATCTGGGCCGAGAGCTTGGTTGGCTACTGCTCAGGATGTTCACAGAGACAGCAGCGTATTTTGATGCCTGGATTGGAAGAGAATGAGCGTGTGTCAGGGGCGAGTGTCCCATTATTCGTGGGCCATGTTACAATTTTTAGACTTTCCTGCAATGTGGCTTTTGAGGATCACGGAGACACCTGCATGAACACAGCATAGAAGTAACTGGAAGGAGTAGCAACCGTAGAGCTCTCTTTATCCCACTGTTCTCCCAACACGCTTTCTAAGTATTGAAAGTGAAGCTTAGGAGATTAGTCTGTTCACAGCTCTATAACACATGGCACAGATTTACTATCGAGTTACTACTCAAGTTGACAGAATAGAATGTGCATGCTTATAACTCTCCTGTTCAAAGTTTTCAATTTTGTTTTTAAAAAAGATTTATTTTTTGAAAAAAAGCTATAGAGAGGGAGGAGAAAGACTGAAAGAGCTTCTACCCACTGGTTTATTCCCCCAATGGCTACATCTGCCAGGGATGGACCAGGCTGACACCAAGATTCAAGAGCTTCATCCATGTATCCCATGTAATTGGGCATTCTTTTTTTTTTTTTTTTTTAAGATTTATTTTTATTATTTTTTATTGGAAAGGCGGATATACAGAGAGGAGAGACAGAGAGGAAGATCTTCCATCCGATGATTCACTCCCCAAGTGAGCCGCAACGGGCCGATACTATGCCGATCCGAAGCCAGGAGCCTCTTCCGGGTCTCCCTCACGGGTGCAGGGTCCCAAAGCTTTGGGCCGTCCTCAACTGCTTTCCCAGGCCACAGGCAGGGAGCTGGAAGGGAAGCGGGGCTGCCGGGATTAGAACCGGCGCCCATATGGGATCCCGGGCGTGCAAGGCGAGGACTTAACCACTTGCGCCACCGCGCCGGGCCCGAATTGGGCATTCTTATGCTACTTTTTCAGGCTCATTGGCAGGGAGCTGGATCAGAAGTAGAGCAGCCAGGACTCGGACTGGTGCCCCTACGGGATCTTAGCACTGTAGGTAGCAGCTTTATCGGACAAACCACAACACCAGACCCTCTCCACTACAATCTTGAGAGTATGGGTTAGTTGTACGTATTTTTAAAAATTATTTTTATAGTCAGTTCCACCAGCTTATTTTGCCAAAGATAACACAAGATAACAAAGATAACACATTTGCTAAGATAAATGTTAGTGTTGCCATGTTTCATTACCTGCGGGATGTAAGACCTACCCAGTTTTTGTAGAGATAGACTCCGGTGTTCTGCTCTTGGTCAACAAGAAATGTTACGACATGTAATGCGGGGTTTCTCACTCTTTTAAAAACATGAGGTAATAAGCAAGGCTGCCATTCAAGAAATGGTTCTTTACTATAAAAACAAGCACTGGACTGCAAAAACAAAAGAGAAGGTCAAAGTTAATGCAGGTTTTAAAATGTTAAGTCCTAATTTTGTCTCAGGGCAATAAACTCACGAGCTATTGCTGTTGTCCTTCCTGATAAAAAATCACAGCTTCAACAGCTCTCCAACCGGGTACAGGAGTTTAGAGGGTACCTCAATACATCTCCTTGAGATGCAAATCATTTTTCTACAATCATTGGATGGGTCCAGATTTTTTTTTTTTTTAAGTTTTATTTTTATTGGAAAGGCAGATCAGATTTACAGAAAGAAGGAGAGACAGAAAGACCTTCTATCTGCTGGTTCACTCCCCAAATGGCCTCAGTGGCCAGAGCTGAGCTGATCTGAAGCCAGGATCTAGGAGCTTCTTCCAGGTCTCCTATGTGGGTGTAGGGTGCAAAGACCTTTAGAGCATCCCCAACTGCTTTCCCAGGCCACAAGCAGGGCTCTGGGATGGCAAGTGGAACAGTTGGGACATGAACCAGTGCCCGTATGGGATCTGGACACTTGCAAGGTGAGGATTTAGCCACTTAGCCATAACTGGGCCCAGGCGGATCCAGATTGAACAATCAGGGCACTACCCTTTGGCCCAAGAAGAGACAATCCTGGGAGCAAAAGTGATGGTTAAGTCTTCAAAACTGCCATTTGTTTTTCAACTAGTAACAGTGCGGGAAGTCACATATGGTAACACTTACCTTTTAAAAGACTTACTATCATACCTCACTCAGTGTCCGGTTTCTGTCAAAGGTGACGGTAACATAGTCCACTACAAAACACAGAGGAACTGAGTCACGCCTGTACTTCTCATGCCAGCAGGGTGTCAACAACATAGTCTTCATGATAAGCAAGACAAATAGTGGGTCATCGGTGTTTATTCAGATACAATCCTTGCAGATATGACTACTTGTCTTAGATTTTTTTTCCCCTCTCAGTTTTAAGCTTATTAACTCCTATGAAATACCATCCTTACATTTTATTCTATTTTTAGGTTATTCTCATGTTATCCATGTTGATAAAAGCCTGCTCATATACCTAAGTAAAATTTACCTTCGAAGCGTTCTCTGTTAGCAAAACATCTTTCATTGTACCACAGTTTGCCTTTGAGATAGTCAACCTAGGTAAAAGAACACACGAAGCACCACTTAGGCCACAGACTTAAGCTATAAAACAGAAAACGCTAACCGAGTAAAAACTATGCCCAGCAATTCGGGGATGTGAGAGGCGAACAAGTGGGGGGCTGCGGGGAGCATGAATGAGTATAAATAAAAGGCAGTAGGACAAAGGGAAGAAATGAAAATTCACATGTTGAACAACACACAGAAAGAGACACAGAGAAAAGAACCTGCATGTCGATGTGTGTGCATCACGGGAGTTGCCCTCACCCACACGTTCTGACGAGGCCGTGGGCCTTTCATGTGGAACCAATGGGTCTGTGTTTGTCCAGGCTTCCTTATCAGCTTGAGATGAGCTTAAGGAACCCCCATGGAAGGCTGGTAGCAGCCAGAAGCAGCAGTGAAGATGTTTGGAAAATCGGCTGCATCAAATAAAGGAGATGGTGCATGGTGGGCATGAACTCCATGCAAGAGTTCCAGATGGTTTTGTGATAAGAAGACTCTGAGTTTCAACACACACTGGAGACATCAGCAGATCTCCTTAGGCTTCTATTGACCCGACAAAATCTGCATAATCAGTGCGTAAAAGCCTATTTAATGTCCTAAATTGATGTATGATGATGGTTATAGAACTCAGTGTATACACCGAGGACCACTGGCTTATACACTTTCAGTGAGTAAAGCTTATGCTTTGTGAATCATAGCATGTAAAAACTGCTAAACATATAATGCCAAGGAAAAGTTTTTTTTTTTTTTTAATGGAATGGACAATTTATTTGAAAGGTGGTATCTCCCTGCTAAGGTGTTATACCAAATGCATCTTTTGACTTTTATAAATCAGAATATACTTGCAGGAGTCCATAATGCCATAATATTTGAAGAGTTAACATAGAATCTTTGTGGGCCTTGAAATATTTCCATTTCTTCACTTTGGATTCGATTATGTTTACTCTCTCTCTTCCCCCTACCTGGAGTCAAATTGGTAGCAACCCAGTCACTGTCCTTAGAGATATTTAATTCTGGCAGGTTGACTTCATTCCAGGGATGAGCCCATGGCCTAGGGCTTACTCAGTCTCAGGATTGGTTAGGAGTGGACACGCACGACCTAACCTGAGTTAATGAGACAGTCCTGATAAGTGGAACTATATAGGAAAGAAAATTCCTTCGGGGACTGATAAACCTGTGCTTACCAGTTTTCTCTAACACCTAGAGAAAAAGGGACCGAAAATGCAGTTAAGGCAGAAGAAAGCAGAACCAATCAGCAGAAGAGACAGAGTCCTACACGTAAGTTAGACAGGGAATCCGGCTTTGCCAGAGAGCCAGAGTCACCGTAAATCCCCCGTTTACATCTGCCAACAACTTCTCCTCCTTTGCTAAAATCAATTTTAGATTGGCTTTGTCATTTGCCTCTGAACAATTCTTCTGGGAGTGGGGTAGGGGAGGAATTCAATCATTTAATTCCTTGGAAAGTAAATTTTATTGTGCTACAGGATACCTATAGATAGTAAAATGATTACTAGAGGGGACATATTTTTAATAAAGTTTCTATCTTGTACCATGTACTTATGACTGAGCTGTCTCATTTGCCATGTAGTGTAACCGCTTCACCTATAAGAGAGATTCTATAATATTTTCCTAAAAAGAAAAATCACTATTTGTTTAAAAGGTAAAGTGACAGAAAGAGGAAGAAAGATACCTTTATCTGCTGGCTCATTATCCAAATAGTCACTAAGGCCGAGACTGGGCCGGGCCAAGCCCAGGAGCCTGGAACTCCACCTGTCTCCCACATGGCAGGGACCCAAGCACTTGGACCATTATCAGGTGACTGGCTCAGAAACAGGACAGCCAGCGCGTGAATCAGACTCCATATGGGATGCTGGTGTTGTGGATGGCAGCTTAACCTACTAAGTCAGGATTGCCTATTTTAACCTCAGGAAATTCCTTTTATAACTAATTTGGTCAGGGTTGTTTTCTTTCTTTTTTAATCTTGAAGGAAGGTTTTAATCACACTGTTTTTCTGTATCTATTGAGATTATCATAATTTTTTATTTTTCTGTTATCATATTTGTTGACTTGGGTTGTTGAACCATGGTTGTATGCTTGATTATGGAGAATAACCTTTTTACTGTGATGCTGGATTAAATTTCCTAGTAGTTTGTTGAAGACTTTTAAAAAAGATTTATTTATTTTTAATTGCAAAGTCAGATATACAAAGAGGAGGAGAGACAAAAAGAAAGATCTTCTGTCTGTTGATTCACTCCCCAAGCAGTTGCAAAGGTCAGAGCTGCGCCAATCTGAAGTCAGGAGTTAGGAGCCTCTTCTAGGTTCGCCACCTGAGTGCAGAGTCCCAAGGCTTTGGGCCATCCTCAACTGCTTTCCCAGACCATAAGCAGGGAGCTAGACAGGAAGTGGAGCTGCCAGGATTAGAACTGGCGCCTGTATGGGATCCTGGCACGTAGAAGGTGAGGCCATTGCGCCGGGCCCCAAGTTTTTTGTATCTAAATTCATCAAGGATATTGGTCTCAAATCTTCTTTTGATTGTATTTTTGCCTGGTTTTGGTATCCAGGAAACATTGGCTTCATAGATGGGACATGAGAGAATTTTGTCCTCTTCTATTTTATGAAGTAATTTAAATATCGGTGTTCTTTACTTGTTTGGTGTAATTTAGCAGTGAAGCCAGTTAATCCTGGGTTTTGCTTTGCTAGGAGATTTTTCATTATTGATTCAATCTCATTTTTTGCTATTGGTGAGTTTAGGTATTCTATTTCCTCATGATACAATCTGGGAGCAGTATTCGCGTGCAAAAGTTTTTCCATTTCTTCTAGGTATTTGTTTCACTTTGGTTGTTCATAGTAATCTCTAATGCATTGTGTTCCTGCGGGATCAATAGTAATGTCCCCATATTCACCTCTCATTCTAAGTATTTGAGATTTTCTGTTTTTCCTTATTTAGTTTAAGAGCTTATCAATTTATCTTTCAAAGAACCAACTCTTTGCTTCATTGTTTTTGTAGGCTCCAGGTCATTTACTTGTGCTTTATTCATTCTTTATTGTTCTTTATTAGTTCTTTCCTTCTATTAGTTTTGGATTGGATTTATTCTTGTTTTTCTGGTTCTTTGAGATGCACTGATAAGTGTCTTTGAGATTTTTTTTTTTAATTCAGGTATTGGTTGCCATAAACTTCTTCCAGTACTGTTTTTGCCATATCCCACAAGTCTCTGTGTGTTGTGCCTCCATTTTCATAAGTTTTAAGAAATGCACAAACATCCTCCTTGACCCATTGATAGTTCAGGGATAAGTTGATTAGTTTCCATGTTTCCTTGAGTTTACACTTCTATGATTGATTTCTTTTTTTACTGTATTTAATCAGAAGATATCTGATACGATTTCTAGTCTCTTAAGTTTGTTGAGAGTTTTCTTTGTGATGCACCTTAAGATCTGTCTCAGCAAACGTTCCATGTGCTGTGGAGCAGAATGTGTATTTTGCAGCTGTTGGATTTAAAGTTCTACAGATGTCTGTTAAGTCCCCGTTGACGTAGGATGCAGTTTAACTCTGCTGTTTCTTTATTGATTTTCTGTCTAGATTATCTGTGCATTTCTGAAAGTGGGGGTCTTATATCCCCCACTACTGTTGTGTTGGAGTTTATCTTCCTCTTTAGATTAATAATTGGTTTATGTATTTGAATCCTCTAATATTGGGTGCAATATGTAAGTATTATTTCTTGCTGGATCAAACTCTATCATTGCATAATGACCAACCTGGTCTCTATTTACTGCTTTTGACTTAGATTCTATTTTATCCTATGTAAGTATGACTGGCTATTCCTGCTTTGTTTTGGGTTCTATTTGCATGGAATATCTTGTTGAATCCTTTCACATTCAGTCCAATGTGTTTTCAGAAGTGAAGTGGTTGAATTCACGGGTGTGTAACTCATAGTCCAGAGGGTCTACTGTGTCCTCTGCTGTCCTGAATGTAAGGCAGTTGTGCCTGGCTGGCTTTCCCAGGCCTCTACTCCACTCTTGGTGCTCTTATGAGTAAAGCATCCTCAGCTCTAATTGCTTCCTGAGAAATGAGTGGACAGGATGAACATGGGTGTATGTGCACAGGTCCACGTGGGGATGGAATGGGGGGTGGCACTCAAAAGTGTTGCATCACAAAACCTGTCTCTATACCAGGGAGTGGAGGTAGCTGGTGGAAAAAATTCCCCAAGAGGCCGGAAGCCAAGGTGGGCTCAGATTATCTGGTACTTTTATGCAAATTACAAAAGGGTGCCTTGTCTCTGGGCAGGCACAGACTGACACCAGGGATGTGGAGCCCCCGTTATCTTCAGCTGGGTGTCCTGTGCTGAGTCGCCACTTGGAGCCCAGACAGAGCATATGAGAAAGTGTGAGTGGAGGCCCCTAAGACAGGGAGGGGCACTTTGTCCTTTGAAACCAAAGAGCATGGCTTACTGATTGTTAGAACATATATCTATGCTATACACACACACACACACACACACACACACACACACACACACACATATATATTTAGTTCAAACTGTGAGTGATGTTCCAGTAACAGGAAAAATCTATACTATGAATAACTAACTCCTGCATCTCTTCAGTCACCATGTAAACATGTGTCTTAACCAACTCGTAGAGATGTGAAGCTTCTTACCCTTTCAAAACCACAGAAGTCTTCCCTTGAGAGCTAGAAGAAAAAGAAGACACTTTAATTGTTGCCCGCCCATCAGAAGGCATAAGAAAATACTGCAATGCAATCACATCAGAGGGTGTTATGTTGTCTCTACCCTGGCAGTGGGGGCGGTCATGCTTGACAGCCAGCCTCACATGTTGTGGACATGACCTTCAGCAGAGGACCAGCTTTACCTTTTATTGATTGATTTATAGCTTATTAGAGTTCCAGAGGGGAGCTGAAATGAAAACTACACTTTCTCATGGTAATGAGGTGAGAACTCCAAGCAGGCAGGGAAACACCGAGTCTGTCCCGAGGTGGGATTGGGCTTTAGGGAGGAAGCTGTCTGTTCTGCCCAGCCCAGGACCATCTACAGAGCAGCATTCTCTAGATACCGCCCAGGAATTCCTCTCTGTGCTTTGAGTGCAAACTGCTCTGGCCTTCCTGGCTTCTTCCAGATCTGTTAGCCATCTGAGTCACAAACGGCGCCTTGTTAGGGATGACGAAGAGAGAGTGGAGGCTGCGAATGGTGTTCTAGCTGCAGAAGGCTAAGCATCACCAGGCGTAGGAAGCACCCTCGGCTCAGCCAGGACAGCTGCCCTCCTTCTGCACCTGAATCTTTACTCCTGGTCTGTTCTAGTTGCCATGATTTTTGAGAAGCATTTATTTACACGTGTAGGTATTTCTTTTTAAATTTTATTTTATTATTGATGATGTTTACATAAAGAATTTCATGATAGGAAATTTGACTATTGTTACTCACAGGGATGTTCCCTTTCTCTCAATCCCAACTCTTACTTTTTATATTTTTATTACATTTAGCTTTAAAGATTACCTTAAAGTATTCCAGAGACTGTATATAAATATAAATAAATGGATAGGCAGATTTAAAGTATTTTTTACAACACATATTCAAAACTTGCAATAAATTTGTACAGCTATAAACCTAGCATTATTTTCTTTAAAAAATTATTAACTAACATCATTTTAAAATTATATACTCAGTACTGTAAGGTAGAGAATAGAGATGCTACATTGTGCTTCCCCCTTTTCAGAAAGGTTTTCACTTCTAAGCTATATCACTTATAACTCAAATACTATTTTTTTAAATCACAGAAAATATTTAACAGTTAACTATTAGTCACAAAACAGTTCCCATACCTGTAATTTTTGGCCTGTGGGATAACGAAGATCTTCACTTACAAAAAGGCCCAAGGAGGTAAGGAGAACTAAAACATGGTTGGTTAAAACCATATCTACCAACGAAAGGCCTGTATGGTCTAAGGGAAGAAATCATACTGTGGGTTAAAGAGTAGGAAAACATCAGTGAGCTCCTTAGCAAAGCCACGTCATTGGCTAAACATCAGTCCCGTGTTGAGGTCAGTGAAATGCTGAGGCTGAGAACATGGTTAAAGGAAATACCTTCTCGGAGTTTAGCATAGATGGTGTCCGTCATGTCGTACCATTTGGTATCATCATAATGCCAAAATCCAGAAAAGCTTAGGCCTATGTAAACACCTGCCATAGAAGAAAAGGAAAATGTCCAGGCAACTTGACAGTCACTTGCTTTTCTAGGACTTCAGCTGCAAGTCCGGATTTGCTCCAATCTCTAACCCATTCTCTTGCTCTTCCCAAACTCGCTTCCTTTTGATTTGGGTTTCACCTCTCAAGCACTGGAAAAGGGAAATAATTTCAGGTGAAACCATGTGATCCTCACTAACCATTGATGAACTCCTAGAGTAGTTACCCCTGGGATAATAAACCCTCTGGATATATTGACTGATCCTATTAAAACAGCTTTCCTGGTGTACTTGATTATTTAGTATTTTGCTTTACAGTGAAGGGATCAGAAAATGCAGTCCCCCAAAGTGCTGCTTTGGCTCAGGATGAGGGTCTGAGCACAAAGACAATCCACAGATGTCGGCGCTGTTCCATTTGAGCAGCCTAACAGCAGGGCACCGAGTTCCCTTCAGAAGGAAGGGTGGCTGTGTCAGCAGAGATGGGGAGAAGACATTGAGACAGTTTGCATGAGCAGCCCTTATGAAAACAACCTTATCCATTAGTTCTCCCATAGATCTAGTAACTAACAACTTGTTCCTTTATGTTCAAACCCCTTTCCTTTATTAAAATGACATTAACTCCCAAATTGAATGACTTAAATTTTGCTTATTTTCTGTGGTCTCCTGGACATGTTAATCAAAATTGTAGGGCAGGTATTTTATCTTGTGGCTAAGATGCTAGTCAAGACTTTTTCTAGGAAAGTGATGGAGAAACTTTGCTCTTGTAAGTATTAATCTAGCTTCATAGATAACAATGGATCTCTAATTGGGAATGGTGTATCCAGAATGATATGAAAACTCTTGCAAAGCTTAGAAATAGTTAATGAGAAATAAGCAATGACATAAACACTTGATGCCAATAATATTTCTAGGCTGATGTTAAGTTGCAGGTCACTTTTTATGACAACTGACCACAATTATATCACAATTATGTCAACCACTGTGAAGAGCCTGGTTCTTATCCTAATGGCTAAGGGAGAATTCAAAGCAGTGACATGATATATCCAGGCTTAAACTTGAGAAGATCACTCCGGTGACCTAAGGAGGTTGGGTTATATTGGGGCAAGAATAAGAACAGGGAGGACACTTGAGATGTTGGGATCTAGTCTTGTAGAAAAACAATGCTTATACCAGAGGGGGCCAGCATTGTGGCATAGCAAGTAAAGCTGCCACCTGTAATGCCAGTATATCATATGGTGCTGGTTCACGTCAGCTGTCCACTTTCAATTCAATTCTTTGCTAAATTTCTTTATGTTTTTTAAAGATTTATTTATTTATTTATTTTAAAAGATTTATTTATTTTTATTGGAAAGTCAGATATACAGAGAGGAGGAGAGGCAGAGGAGGAGAGGCAGGGAAGGAGATCTTCTGTCCATTGATTCACTCCCCAAGTGGCCAGGAGCCTCTTCCGAGTCTCCCACATGGATGCGGGGTCCCAAGGCTTTGGGCCATCTTCTCCTGCTTTCCCAGGCTACAGGCAGGGAGCTGGATCAGAAGCAGGGCCATCTGGATTAGAACTGGTGCCCATGTGGGATCCTCTATGGGTGATAGTTTGTGTCCTGGATGCTCCACTTCCAGCTCTCTGCTTGTGGCCTGGGAAAGCAGCAAAGGACAGCTCAAAGCCTTGGAAACCCGCGCCTGTGTGGGAGATCAGCTTAGCTCCAGCCATTGCAGCTACTTGGGGCATGAACCAGCAGATGGAAGATCCTTCTCTGGGTCTCTCATTTTCTCAATAAACCTGATATTCCCATAAAAAGAAATAAATATTTAAAAAATAAAACAAACCAAAAATAAAATAAATCCTGTCTGAAGATTTATCCATTTATGAGTAGGGCTTTTAAAATTATAATCTTTGGTAGGGTGCTTTTAATATAGTCGTTATTAAATTTTCTAACCTCCCATACTCTGGTAATTTTTCTCTTTTGCAATATTACATATATAACATATTATGCATAAATTAAAAAATTATTTCTGATCCAACATTGGTGCATAATACATTAAACTACCACCTGTGAGGCTGGCATGTCATATAGGTGCTGGTTCAAGTCCCAGCTGCCACATTTGGGACCGGGACTGCTCATCAGAAAGACCCAGCGACCATTACAAGGTTGGAACTTTTATCTCCACACCCATTGCTCCAGGAAGCAGAGAGGAGGAGCAGTTGAGTTAATAATTAACACACTGATGTGATGAAATGGCCATAAAATCTCCAACGTTCTAGTCTTGGAGTGCTTCCAGGTGATAAGCACATCCGTGCACATTGGCTTGCCGGGAGTGGTGAACCGCACTTCCATGGGGACTGAAGTGCCTCTACTTGGGACTCTTTTCAGACCTCACCTGCATCTTGCTGTTCATTTGTGTTCTTGTTAATGACCTTTCTAATAAGCCGGTAAATGTAAGTAAGTGTTTTCACTGTTCTAGCAAACTCCTGAACTCAAGGAGGTTGTGGGATTCTCCTGATTGTTGCTGGCTGGCCAGGAGAACAAGACACCACCTGAGCCTGCTGCCTAGCCGCTCAAATGAGTGACAGTCTTGTAGGACTGAGCCCCTAACTTGCAGGAGTTTGTGGTAGGCTGGAACTGTGCAGAACCAGAGGACGATCATGTGGCATCTTCACAGAGTCAGGAGAATTGCTTTGCGTGGAAGTCCACAGGGTTGGTGTCAGAAGTGTTGTGAATCACAATATAGAAAATGACACTTGTCTTCCCTATACAGAGCTATTCAATAGTAAAGGGAAAATGCACACATGATACAAAACGGTGTGCTTTTAGGAATAAAAATACTGATTACTATCTGTCAGGAAAAGCAAAGGATTAGAAACAATGAATAGTCTCTGGGAAGAAGTAATATATTAATGCAGGGCAGAAGATAAAATCAGAAGAGATACTAAAGTCACTATTATGATAAAAATTGCAGCAAAAAATCCTTCATATATCACACTTGCAAGGAGAAAAGATGACAGAGTAGGTTCTTGGATATTTTTTTTTGATAATTTTAAAAAACATATACTCATTTTTATTTTCTGAGATGGAAACAGAAAAACAAGAGAGCTCTTTTTTGCTGGCTCGCTGCTTTCCACTGATTGACTCCCCTGATGCCTGACACAGCCAGGCCTGGGCCAAAGCCAGTCCAGGTGCTGGGGGATTCAATCCAGACAACCCACAGTGACTGGGGTCCAGTGTTGGACAGTTACCTGCTGCCTTCCACAGTAAGCCCTGTAGGAAGCTGGAATCAGGAGTGGGCCTGGGACTTGAGCAACAGGCACGCTGCTATGGGATATAGGTGTTCCATCTGGCATCTTAACCACTTGATCTAATGCCCACTCTGTAGGGAATATTCCTTTCTCCACTATTTGATTCCAGTTAGCCATCACTGTTGTAAACTACAAAGCATCACTTTTAAGCATTCAATAAAACAACAAACTTACCATTAAGTGTTGTATTCAAAATGAAGCCAAGTAATGCCACATCATTGGCACAGGGGCATTTTGCCACTTTGAGGTCGATCACATGTGGAGATATGCTACTGATGTGATTCCGTGACACTGAATTCCCAATGTTCCATTGAAGAATAGGTTCTGTGAAAAACAAAATAGGTGCTAATATGTGGCAGTATTCTTAAAAATGAAAGGGTTAAAGGGAAAAAAGTAAAAAAGAATGGAAGGGTTGCTTTCCTTTAAAGTCTTTAAAGTAACTATGTAAAGGAATTGTTCTATAGTTCCAAAGTGAGTGTATTATTTCACCTTCGTTAGTTGAAGTTAGGGCAGTTCTTATTTTTTCAGAGAAAATAAGAAAAATATGGTCCCTGTTGCAGAGGAACATGTGGGGTGGGAGATGAAGCCCTGGGCATGCTTGCAAAATGCCATTTGCCACAGGAGCCACACCTAGCAATGGAATTCCTGGATCATCCAGATATCAGCTGCTATGTTGAAAGATCACATACTGATGTTGTGCTCTGCTTGGCCACATGAGTGTAGCAGTAGATAGACAACAACTAGAATAAATCCAGAGTAGCAGTGGTCATGGAGAATTTTAATTGATGGCCAAGAGAGGCATTTCTGGACAACAGACAAAAATTGAGGATGCAACTAACTGGAAGGATCAATCAGAAATGAGATCTCTTTACTTAGCACTCCATCTTTCCTTCCCTCCCTTCTTCCCTCCATCCCTCCATCTCTTCCTTCCTTCCTTCCTTCCTTCCTCCCTCCCTCCCTCCCTCCCTCCCTCCCTTCCTTCCTTCCTTCCTTCCTCCCTTCCTCCCTCCCTTCCTTCCTTCCCTCCTTCCTTCCTTCCTCCCTTCCTTCCTTCCTCCCTCCCTCCCTCCCTCCCTTCCTCCCTCCCTCCCTTCCTTCCTTCCTTCCTTCCTTCCTTCCTTCCTTCCTTCCTTCCTTCCTTCCTTCCTCCCTCCCTCCCTCCCTCCCTCCCTCCCTTCCTTCCTTCCTTCCTTCCTTCCTCCCTCCCTCCCTTCCTTCCTTCCTTCCTTCCTCCCTCCCTCCCTCCCTCCCTCCCTTCCTTCCTTCCTTCCTTCCTCCCTCCCTCCCTTCCTTCCTTCCTTCCTTCCTCCCTCCCTCCCTCCCTCCCTTCCTTCCTCCCTCCCTCCCTCCCTTCCTTCCTTCCTTCCCTCCTTCCTTCCTTCCTCCCTTCCTTCCTTCCTTCCTCCCTCCCTCCCTCCCTTCCTTCCTCCCTCCCTTCCTCCTTCCTTCCTTCCTCCTTCCCTCCCTCCCTCCCTCCTTCCTCCTTCCTTCCTTCCACAAAGCTACCACAAAGCTCTCGGTTGCTACGTCCCTTTGCACAGGGCGTGGAGAACATCCAGGCTGTGGCCTGAGCGGGCCCACGGAATCATTTGGTCTGGCCCCTGCCACGACACCCATAAGTGGGACTTGAAATTCAATAAGTCTATAGCAGGCTACTTTTTAATTTGATAGCTTTGTGTGATCTGTGAGTGGTATTGTAAGTATACAAATAGCCCTTGGAAGGAAAAAACTTTCCCATCCCTATCTAGGTACATTTAAATATGTAAATGATTCAGATTTCAGAATGATAATAAACCAAATAATTTTATTTGGTATTTTAGTATTTAAAAAAATAAATACAGGGTCTAAAAATATAAGAATGCCACAAAGTCAGTATGCCAATAACTAGTGAATAATTGGCTCATTGCTCTTCAAATTTTGGAAACAATAACAAAAAACACATTTTGCCATTTTGTTTATTTTGTTTCAGATAATTTAATTTTGGTTAAAAAAAACCAAAATGACAAGCATGTAATTAAAGATAACTTCTGCTCCCCTCCATAGTCCCATTCCCAAATTCTCCCCAATGTCTAAAATTGCTGTGCATATATTTAGTCCATATCTTAGTAATCCTACAATATGTGTAAGAAGACCACATATACATATCTTTTGTGTGTGTGTGTGTTTTCTTAGTCTTCTGGTTATTTGGAAGGCAGAAAGGCAGTGTGAAAAAGAAACAGAGACAGGCAGAGATAGAGATTGCCCATCTGCTGGTTCACTCCCTAGGTATGTCCAATGGCCAGGTTTGGGCCAGGGCAGAGCTGGGATATATATATATTTCTCCTTCATTTCAACAGAATATTCTCCCATTTACATATTTTTGTCTATTTATGGACATTTAGTTTGTCCCTAATGTTTTTATCTTACTTGAAATAACAGTGCTTTAGATAGGTGAGTATCTGTCTCTTGGGCGCATCTATAACCCACATTTCTCCAAGGCATTTACCTCGAACATAATCCAATAGAGTTCCTTCCGTGGCATAAATATTTAATCCATGATGTAATGTGATTCTTACCAGCCATTCTTCGACAGCTGCAGCATCTGTTTGAAAACAAAACACAAATAATCAGCTAGTGTTCTCATATCTCAGGTTGGCGAAATTTAAGGAACATTGCCTGTATTGATAATCTTTCCCTTTCTAATCACATTGATTGAATCTATATGTCAAAAGTTAGTATGTTTTTCCTAAAAATATTCTGATGATAAAATAACAAAGTGATCATATCATGAAAATAAATTGAGGCACTAACATTTTGAAAAGATCTGTTTATTGAAAGAATTTCAAAGAGAGAGGGCTAGACAGAAAAGAAGAGATAAAAAGGAGGAAGAGAAGGAAAGAGGGAGTGGAGGGAGGAAGTGAGAGTGAGAACAGAAGTGAGAACAAGAGAGGTCTTGGTTCACTTCCCCACATGGCTGCCACAGCTGGGGCTGAGCCAGTCTGAAGCCAGGAGCCAGAGCTTCATCCAGGAGCCCAAGCATCTGGGCCATCCTCTGTTGTTTCCCAAGGCATATTAACTGGGAGTTGGATCAGAAATGGGGCAGCTGGGACCCAAAGCAGTGCCCATAGGAAATGGCAGTGTCACAGGCAATGACTTCACCATAAGTACTATGGCCCCAAAGTACTAACATTCTAGATTGTAATTTTTCTCTTAGAGCTGTTGTAGCTTAGTGAAAAGCCAATGGACACACATGTTGTGAAATGTTGATAATATTTAACAGTAGTCAATGGCTGAAAGTACATTATGTGCTATAAACCATCTGATGGACACTTGAGACATTTTTAAAGATACAAATAATGAGCAAATAGTGGAGATAAAATGCAATTGTGAAAATAATAAATATGGGAGGTCATACTATGGCATAGTAGGCTAAGTTTCTGCCCGTGGTGCTGGCAGCCATATGGGCGCTGGTTCCTGCCATGGCTACTCTGCTTCTAATCTAGCTCCCGCCTATGGACTGGGAAAGCAGTGGAGGATGGCTCAGATTGTTGGACCCCTTCACTCATGTGGAAGATCTAGAGGAAGCTCAGATCAGCTCAGCTCCAGTTGTTGTGGGCATCTGGGGAGTAACCCAGTAGTTAGAAGATGTCTCTGTCTCTCCTCTCTGAGTCTGATCTAAGTAGGGGCTTGCACTGTGGTGCAGTGGCTTAAGCCTCCACTTGTGGTGCCAGCATACCATTCAGATGCCTGTCTGTGTTGTGCAAGCTCCACTGCTAATGCACCTGGGAAAGCAGCGGAAGATGGTCCAAGTTCTTGAGCTCCTTCCACGCAAGACCTGGAAGAAGCTCCTGGCTCCTGACTTCAGCTTGGCTCAACCCTGGTCATTATGGGCCATCTGGGGAGTGAGCCTGCAGATGGATGGTCTCTCTCCCTGTCTCTCTCTTCTTCTTTCTGCAACTCTGCCTTTCAAATAAATAAATAAATGAATATATATATATATATATATATGTGAATATATATGTATATTGCATGTAGAATTAAAAGTAAAAGCATGAGGGGAGCACTCTTATGGTAAATAAAAGAAGTCAGATTCAAAGGCTACATTTAAAACAAAAAAAGATTTATTTATTTTTATTTGTAAGGCAGATTTATAGGGAAGGAGGGAATGAGAGAAAGAAAGATCTTCCAACTGCTAGCCCACTCCCCAAGATGGTTGCAACCGTCAGAGCTGGACCCATCCAAAGCTAGGAGCCAGGAGTTTCTTTTGGATCTCCCACACTGGTGCAGGGCTCCAAGGACTAGAGCCATCCTTGAATGCCTTCCCAGGTCATAAGCAGAGAGCTGGGTGGCCAGTGGAGCAGCTGGGACTAGAGCTGGTGCCCAATGGGATGCTTACGCCAGAGGGAGAAGATTAACCTGGAGAATTACTTCCAGGTTTTAGGATTCCTTTTCTAAGACACAGGTTTAGGCCAGGAAATACTAATAAAACAACTTACCACTTTTTTCTTTTTATATTACATTTAAATAAATTTCAAGGCCTAAAAATTATGGAGAATGACAATAAGTGGAGTACTTTAACTGGGTGACATAACTGTTCTGTATCTTGATTATGGTGATTCTACAATTGTATATATGTGTGAAAACTCATACAGCTAGAAACATCAAAGGGAATAATCCATTAAATGCAAATCATTCTTATTTTAGAATAGAAACAAAGCAAATTGCTCAGTGTGTATCAAGAAGACACTCCTTTACATTCAACAGTAAATACTCAACTCAAAGTTCAAACTGCTGGACCAATGCCTGCAGTATCTGCGTTCCACATGGACACTGGTTTGAGTTCTGGCTGCTCTGTTTCCCACCCAGCAACGTGCTTACAGCCTGGCAAATTACCAGCAAATGGCTCAAGTCCTTGGGACCTCCATCTATGTGGGAGACCAAGAGGAAGTTCCTTGCTACTGGTTCCTGGCTTCGTTTCAGCTCAGATCTGGACTTTGCCAGAGCAGTGGATGGGAGATCTTTTTGTCTTTCCTTCTCTCTGTGCAATTCTGCCTTTCAAATACAAATAAAACAAATCTTTAAAAATATCTAACTGCTTCATCACTTCAGGTTATCACTAAATCTTTGTACAGCTCCAGGGCTGCATATTAACTCACTTTAAAAAAGCAGATAGAGCCAGCACAATGACTCAATTGGTTAATCCTCTATCTTCAAGTGCCAGGATCCCATATGACCACCTGTTGTGTCCTGCCTGATATATTTCCCATGCAGTTCCTTGCCCAAAATCAGAAGAGGATGGTCCAAAGCCTTGGGATCCTGCACCCACGTGGGAGACCCAGAATAAGCTCCTGGCTTCTGGCTTCAGATTGGCTCAGCTCCATCCATTGTGGCCACTTGGGGAGTGAAACCGTGCACAGAAAATCTTTCTCTCTGTCTTTCCTTCTCTATAAATTTGCCTTTCCAAAAGAAAAAAAAAATCTTAAAACACACACACACACACAGAGAAACAGAAATAGGATAAAAATGTTCCTGAAGTTCTTGATGGTATGTCATTTCTAACCCTTCTTTTTGATGTTATTAATGTCTTTTGGGTTCCATGACAAAAATAAATTTCTTTTTCTTCCCCATGTGAGGTTGAGATGTGCTTTTATTTATTGTGTTCACCATACTAAATAGCAAGGATAAATTCCATGCCTGAATATGCTACCAGCTCTGTCCACTGACTCCATACTCACAAATCCCCAAATCAGAATATCCATCTGGATATGGATAGTAACATATAATACAACAGTGACAATAACTGTACATTCCACAAGGGAACAATACAAAATTTAATACAGCCGACAGCATTTAAGATTAAATTAAGTTTTAACAAAATTAACTGATACCCAAGTTTCTCAGGACTAACAAGTTCTAATTCCTAAAAGAAAAAAAAAGTAGAATTTGCTTTAAATAAAGGATAATATAAATATTATGTATGTTAGAAAAAAATCAAAATGTAGTAGAATCGCTAGATAAAGTGGAAGAAGCTAAATTAAACTTAAATTTTAAATGAGCCACAAATAAACTTTTAGCAAGTATATTCCAAATACTACCTGGGACATTTGCACAAGATAATAAAGAATTTTGGTAAAACAAATGTTTTCTACTTGTTTAGTTTGTCAACCTAGGCTCACAAATAAAGCAATTGCTCCAACTCACTCTTACCTGTTTTTCTTGTGATGTTTTCTCTAGGGATATCAATCACCCAGAAAACTTGATCACTGAACTTGAGCAAAGAAGACATAAGAAAAATGTTAATAAAGGCACTTACTTTTACAGTATGCCCTATCGTTTAAAATAGGAAATTGGGGCCAGCATTGTGGTATAGCAAGTATAGTTGCTATGCATTGGAATGCATTGACATTCCATTATGGCTCAAGTCCTGGCTGCCCCACTTCCAATCCAGCTTCCTGCTAATGCACCTCTCTCTCCCTCTCTGTAATTCCGCCTTTCAAATAAACAAGCCATCAAAAAATAAAATTAAATAATAAAATTAAAAAAAGCATTCAATGCACACACACTTTACCCAGCAATTTCCATTGTTGGGAAATTTTACTGTGTTATACCCACATACTCTTAGATGTGAATTGAAACGCATTCAAGAATATTTTTGCATCATTATTTCTAATAGCATAGGACTGGAAATAATGAAAATATGCATGCATCATGTATAACAATATAACCACACAATGGAACACTACGCTGTTAACACAGGCATCCGAAAGTTGCAGCAACCAACTTCACCTATCCAGAGACAGAGCTGTAGATTGGCAGAGAATCTGGAAACTGCACAGGGAAATCTTGGATCACAGGAAGTACAAGATGGTGAGTTCTGAGATTTAAACACAAACTGCCCAAATTCCTGGGCAGCACAGGGGCAATGGACACCCTCAGAAGACAATGTTTTAAAAGTTAGCATTAAGCTGGAGTCAAGACTATAGCTGAAGGACTATATTATTGTAAAACACAGGGGACAACAGGGAGGAGAGAAAGAGGAGTGAGGGGAAAGAGGGAGGCTCTATGACTACCAAACTGTAACATGGAAAATAAGAGTAAAAAATTAGCATAAAAGCCAAAGGAACTTAGCGCAAATGTCAGCTGCCTAAACCATGAGTTGGGTAGTTTACGGTTTCTGCTAAGGCAAGTTATCTATTTGCTTTGCAGAATAATAAAAGTAATTTCTCAGAAGAACATGACAGAGTCTAGAGTTGTTACAGCTTTTTCTTTTCAGTGTCTAGTTTTCAACCAAAATGATAGGACATGAAGGCAACAGGAAAGCATAACTATTAGGAGAAAAAAAAGTAGACAATAAACTGACCCAGAGTGAGTCCAGATGGCAGACCAAGATTTTAAAGTAGTTATTAAAAGTAAGTTCATAGGTCTAAGGAAAATTTTGTCTTCATGAAGAAATGAATAGAGAATTCAAAAACATAAAGTACAACTAAAAATAGAACTCACTGGAGGTAATAAAACTGAAAAGTATAACAATGAAGTAAAGTATTTACTAACCAGGTCTATTAGCAGATAGGAGATGGCAATAGAGAGAGAATAAGCAAATTCAGAGATACTGCAATTGGAATGGTTAGTTAAAAAATAGGTAAATGATTAAAGAAAAATAACAGTTTTAAAGATCTGTAGAACAATCTAATACATTTCAAATGTGCATAATTATAGTCCCAGCAGGAACAGAGACCAAAAATTGTAGGACAGAAAATAATTTTGGGGAACATAGCAGCAGGATACTTTCAAAACTTGGTAATATCACAATCCCAAAATTCCAGAGAATCCCACTTGGGTAAATCCAAAAAAACAAAAACAAAAACGTCCAGGTAAAAAGTGACACATCACATAAAGGCATAATGAAAAAATTAACAGATGACTTCTCATTCAGAAATAATGGTGTCTGATAACATTAGAACAATATGTTCAAAATGTTCAAAGAAAAGAAACCAACCAGAAATTCTATATCTCACAAAAATACCCTCCAAAAATTCAGGTGACCACTGGAAACTTGTTTAGAACTCAAGCAGTGCTGCTGGATATCAAGATAAATAAAAAACTGTGTTTCTAAACACTTGCAGCAAACAATCTGGAAACTATGAAACAAATTATTTAGAAGAGCAATGAAAGAATAAAATGTTAGTAATAAAATGAGCAGCAGATATATAGAACCTATATTCTAAAAACTGTAAAGCATCCTTGAGAAGAAATTCAGAACAAGATAAATGGCACAATATCCCACATTCATGGATTTAAAGACTTATTACCCAAATTTATCTGCAGAACCAATACAACTCCTATCAAAATCCTCACCAGCTACTTTGTAGAAACTGGCAAGTTTATCCTAAAATTCAAAGGGAAACCAGGGATTCAAACTAATAGAAATAATGTTGAAAAACAAAGCTAGAGGACTCCTGCTTCCTGACTTCAAAAGTTAACACAAAGTAATACCAAAGCAATATGTAGAATACGATAAACATACAACTCAATGTAATAGAATTGAGAATCAAGATGGAAGTCCTCATGTTTATGGTCAATTGATTTTAAACAAAGATGCTGAGACAATACGACAGGAATGAACAATAGCCTCTTCCACAAGTTGTACTAGGAAAACTAGCTCCACATACAAAAGAGCGAATACAGACCCCAACCTCACACCATGTACAAAAATGAACTCAAAATAGATCCAAGACATATGTAAAAGCTAAAACTATAAACCACCTAAAAGAATAAAGGAGTACATCATCATGAGTTTGGATCTTAAAAATAGGAAAAGAATAAAAATAGCTATTTCCCCAAATAAGATGTTCAAGTGGTGCATAAACACATGAAAAGGTGCTCAACATCATTAGTCACTTGGCAAATGCAAATCAAAAACATAATGATGTAGCACTTCATACCTATCAGGACGACTGTAACAATTAGATAGGTAACAGCAAAGGCTGAGGAAGGTGTGCAGAAATTGGAACCTAGATATACTGTTGGTGGCAATTAAATTAATGCAACCAGTGTGGAAAACAGCCTGGCAGTTCTGCAAAAAAGTTAAACATGGAATGCCCATTGGATCCAACAATCCCATCCCTAGTTATGTACCCAAGAGAAATTAAAACCTAATTCCTAATTATGCAAACTTGCAAGAAAATGTTCACATGAGCATTATTCATAATAGCCAAAAGGTAGAAACGATTCAAATGTTCATTAGCTGATTTATGAATAAGCACGTTTACACGACAGAATATTATTCATAAATAGGAATGAATTACTAAAAACATGACACAACATGAAAGGATTTTTGACACACAGCACTAATGGAAAGAAGCTGGCTACAAACATGACTTGCTATATTTCACATACAGGAAATGTTTACAGAGATGGGAACTAGGTGAGCGAGTGCTCGCCTGTGGCTGGGAGTGAAGGGAGATGGGCCCTGTCCTTTTGGGTTGGTGATGATGGTGGGACCTCAGTATTAATGTGGCAAAGCTAAGTGAATGCACTCACAACCAAAGAGTAATACACTTTCAATAGGTGGATTGAATGGTGTATAAATATATTTTAAGATCCTTACTAAAAAAAAAGGTGGGTGAAATAATGATTTTGGGGGAATAGAGGGAAAAGAGGAGAAAATCAGAGAGAATTACTGCCAGCTGGTCATACACAGAATTCTTCAAGTTGAAAAGAAACTGATATCAGAGGGCAATTTACACCCACAGAAAAGAATGAAGCACAGTAGGAATAGTGAATATTGAGGAAAACTGTCCAACATGCACCTTTTTCTTCTTGTAATTTCTTTTAAAAAATATGACTACTGAAAGTGAAATCTGTAACATGATACAATATTATTGAAACTATCCAGTTTTAGAAAAATCCTGTAAATAAAAGAATGTTTTCATTAATATAGCACAGACTGAAATAAGATGCAATTACCAATGTTAAATTAAAGTGGAAGATGCCATTGTAGGTACTATTTATGATTGCCAAACTGGGAGCAAGTCCTCCTGATGTGAACACACTTATTGCATACTTTGAAGCAATGTCATTTTCAGCTAGGAAAAAACACTGGATTTTCTGTAAGAAAGGGGAGGGGAGAATCTGGTAAGTAATGACAATTCAATGGAGAACAGCATGTTATATCAACTGAAAAATGTGGCTTTGGGGTGCAGCCACTGCTTAGGTTGCCTGTATATTAATGACCATAAATCAGGGAAAGCAACTGATACATTTCTTCTACTGACTGGCTTATTTTATCAAGGACAACGGTCATTTTGACATTTTGAGATTTGACTATGTTTATAGCCCTTATCTATACTTATTTTATTGGAAAGGTAGATATATAGAGACAAGGAGAGATGGAGAGAAATAGCTTTCTCCCACTGCTTCACCAAATGCCTGCTAGCTGAGCTGATGCAAAGCTAGGGGCCAGAAGCTCTTCCGGGTCTCCCATGCAGGTGCAGGGTCCCAAGGCTTTGAGCCATTTTCCATCGCTTTCCCAGGCCACAAGCAGGGAGCTGGTTCAGAAGCGGAACAGCTGGGACATGAACCGGTGCCAATAGGGGACGTTGAAACTCAGAGGTGGAGGATTAGCCAGCTGAGCCCCAGCGCTGGATTCATGTCTATATTGTTGAGGCACAATGATTTCCTACTTACTACCGGTTGAATTCTTTATTTAGTAGATTAAGTTTCTGATTATAGAGTAACTTGGAAGTGCATCACTGGAAAAATTAAAGGAAAAATAAAGGGAGAAGGAGGAGAATGAGAGCAAGGGTGGGAGGGTAGGATGGTAAGTAACACGATACACGTAAAACTGTATGTGAAATACAGGAAATGCATTCCCCACCTAGAAATATAAAAATAATTTAAATTATGATCTTGCATTTAAGAAATCTATTTCAAAGAGTTACAGAGACAGAGGGAGACACAGAGATCTTCCATGTCCTGGTTCACACCCCAGGTTGCTATGATAGCAGGAGCTTCACTTGGGCTTCCCACAGGAGCAGCAGGGGAGCACTTGGGCCGGCAATTCCCTGCTGTTTTCCCAGGTGCATCAGCAAGGAGCTCTATGTTGGACACAGATCTGCTGGGACTTGTGCCAGAGCTTACACAGGCAGTGGCTTATCATACTGTGGCCCTGATTTTCTTGCCTTTCCACTTGCCATTTCCCACTTCTGAAAAGATCTGTAAAAATGCAGCGATCCCACCTGTTAGATTTTACTGACAAAAGCAACAAGAGGCAGATGCCAAGAGCTCTGTCTGGATTAGTTCTCCCAGCAACTAAAATTACTTTGGGCAGCATTTCCATTTCCCTATCTAAATAACGGATAATCTCGTTCATTCTGAAATATACTCCGAGGCCTCACTCTGGACCAGGCAATGCTGTAGGTGCCATATTTTGTCACAAATGTGAACAAAATAAAACCTCTGCCCCTTGTGAATCTGCTTTCTGGCAGGACTTGGCAGGGAGACAGGTTGAATGTAGGTATTGGGAGCTGGATGAGGGAAACACGGTACAAGCAAAACAAATACCAGGTCAATAACACTAAAGCAGAGGAGGAAGAGCAGCTTGGCGCAGGAGTCTTCAGCACAGAGGTTAACGGTCCTTATCTTAGGGAAGAAGAAGTGTGAAGGCTAAATGTCATAATTATCAGAAAGCACTTAGAACGATGCCTGATTACACCTGAGGCTACAAACTACTCATCATTATCCTGGACAATACCATTACTACAGCCACCTTAAAGAGCGGGTTATAGCTATCTTTTTTTTTTTTAAGATTTATTTATTTTTATTGGAATGACAGATTTACATACAGAAGAAGAGACAAAGATCTGTCTGCTGGTTTACTCCCCAAGTGGCCACAATGACTGGAGCTGAGCCAATCTCAAGCCAATGTCAAGGATCCAGGAGCTTCTGCTCACATGGGTGCAGGGTTCCAAGGCTTGGAGCCGCTCTCTACTGCATAACCAGGCCAAAAGCAGGGAGCTGAATGGGAAGTGGAGCAACTGGGACTTGAACTAGCGGCCATTTGTGATCTTGGCTTAGACAAGGCAAGGATTTTGTCACTAGGCTGTCGTGCTGGGCTCAATGTGGTACTGAGTCTTTCCCAAGGTTATGTGAGGTAACTTTCTTTTTAAACAGGCTACATCTGTCAGACTTCAAAAGGACACAGCAGTTTCATAAAAAAAAAATTATTATAGCCAATTTTTTTTTAAAGTAGAGGGAAGAGGCATCATTACAAAAAAAAAAGAACCATTCTACCCAATTCAAGTAAGGACTAAATGTAAGGGATAGAAAAGATGGTATTAATATAGCATATCACCTTTAGGGTGGGGGTGTTTTGGTATAGCAGTTAAGGTGTCACTTGGAATGCGCACACCCCACATTGGGGTGTCGAGGTTCAATTCCCAACTCCACTCCCGACTCCAGCTACCTGCTAATGTGTGCCCTGGGAGGTGGCAGGGGGTGGCTCACGTACCTAGATGTCTGCTATAGCTGTAGGGTCGGCTGTAGGATCTCTGCTACAGCTGTAGGGTCGGCTGTAGGATCTCTGCTACAGCTGTAGGGGTCGGCTGTAGGATCTCTGCTACAGCTGTAGGGGTCGGCTGTAGGATCTCTGCTACAGCTGTAGGGAAGCTGACCTGAGTTCCTGATTCCCTCTGGCTTCAGCCTGGCCCAGTCCTGGCTTCCACAGGGCTTTTGGGAGTGAACTTGGGGATTTGTCTATCTTATTTTCCCTTCAAATAAATGTATATAAATAAACAAGTAAGCTTCTCTGCCCCCTTCTCACCGCTTCCCCCGGCTTGCTCCGCCCCAGGCTGAATACAGGAGACAAATCCGAGCGGCACAGTAGTATTGCTTTTATACACAGACTTAACAGGAAGGTGAAGGATGGGAATACTTGCTGTTCGTGGACCTTACCAAGTTTTTTGAGGTCAGATACAACTTGATCATTTCATTTTCTTTGGGGAACCCTTCACTAGAGCAAGCAAAGTGTTTCACCATATCACCTAAATAATATAAAAATATGCATTTTAGGTTACTGACAATTTTCCTCATAAGTACCATATTTTTAAACTGGTAAAACTTCTTTAAAAGATTTATTTTATTTTTATTGGAAAGTCAGGTATACAGGGAGGAGGAGAGACAGAGAAGATCTTTTGTCCATTGATTCACTCCAGAGCTGATCTGAAGCCAGGAGTCTGAAGCCTCTTGCAACTATTCATGGAGGAAAATCAAAAAGTCTGCTGAAATATTTCAAGTTTTGCAAACATAAAATGCTCTTTAAATTTTATAAGACTTAGAAGTGATAAAATATTGTGACAAGAGAAAGGCCTCTGAGGGCATAACTTAATGATAGTGGTTCCATAATGTTATTAGAAACTAGAACCTAGACACAATTGGTAAGTAAGGTAAATATTAAAATATGTATTTTAAGTGTAAATGAGGAAGGAACAGAAATGAGGAGTCTGAAACTTACCTTTGTTATAATCTATTCCTGATAAAAATTCAAATGTGTTCAAAAGTAAAACAGTGACATACAAACACGGTGAGTCCATCTGTTGGAGTGAATGAAAATTATTTCCATCATTTACTGGCCACTTATTTTTGAGCTCCTTTGCCTATGAGCAACTACAAAGTAGTAAAGAATCTCTTCAAGTTAAAAACATTTCCCACTATGTGTCAAAAACACAATATAACACTCGGCTATATTAGTATATTATACATATATATATGTATAATATATAAAATCATCATAAAGTAGAAAAAGAGATATGGTTTAGGTAGATTTTCTTTTTCAATGTAGATAACTGTGGGAGACGTGATGTGCTTTATAGCTATGTAAAGCAGGAGCTGATGTGATAAAAGGCTTCATGGGTGGCACAGCCATACCTTAAGGTTGGCATTGATTGTAAGGGGTGGGCATCCAGGTGGTCCTGCAATTTCCTAAATGTTTCTGCTTGGCCTACCAGGAATGCCAAGCTCCAATTGTTCTTTGGGCCATTTTCCCCAGAGTTGTATCTGCAGCCATGAGATTTGAAGGATGAGGTAAGCACCCCTTGGACAACAGTAGCTTATTTCCTGGTAAATCTCCTGATAGCACTGTTTCATTCCTGCAGCTTACTCCACTATTTGTGCAAACATCAACTGGGATGAATGGTGTATCCCTAGAATCCACATGCTGAAATGCTAGTCCCCAGTTCCCCCTAATCTCATTGCATTTGCTGCTGGCGTCTGTAAAAAGGTGATGAAGTGAAAGGGAGGGTTATTAGTGTAGCTCTAATGCAGCCTGACCCAGTCCTTCAAATGAGACAGGTGCAGAGGGAAGGCAGGGGGAGAGACAAGGTACAGAGCTGGCTGAGGGAGAGGTGTAGCCCTGCTCTGTCTCCATCAACCCTACAAACACCTTGCTCTTGGAAGTTTAGCTTCCAGAACTGAACATGTTGATGTTGATATTATGGCAGCCCTAGACATTTAAAGACATATTCATTTTGGTGCAAATTTTGAAATTCGTGAATAGCTTTTTCATAACACATTTTCCATGAACTGTTTGAAAACTGCTCATCCATAATGTGTTTCATCCTTGTGGAACTTGTGGGGCAGGTAACACTGCAGCACACTGCTCCCTGGCACTCTGGCTGCTGCTTTTGTTCTGAGTAATAAAGTCTTTTGCCTCTAATCTACGAGGTGTTTTTTTTTTTATCACACTTACAGCTGGCAAAGACTAACTTATCAGGTGTAACTACTGGTGAGTAAATTAGGTTTGCATTCCTCAAAATTGGCTTTCTTGATTAAATACATGTAACTGACAATAGAAAGTGCGAGCATTTGTTGGATTTTTAAATTCACCGTGTTTTTTGGAGATAATTTAAAAAAAAAACATTCATATATTTTATTTACTTAAAAGAGTGAGAGACCAAGGTGGAGGAATCTACCATGGGGGGAAGGTATGGGGAGGGGTTGGGGGAATCCCAGAGCCTATGAAACAGTGTCACATAATGCAATGTAATTAATAAAAAAAAATGCTGAGAAAAAAAAAAAACAAAAATAGTGGGAGAGAGAGAGAGAGAGAGAGAGAGAGAGAGAAAATCTTCCATCTATGAGCTGGCTCCTTAAAAGCCTGCAATAGCCAGGGCTAGAGCTGGTTGGTCATAGGTGGGAACCAGAAACTCAATAATTCTGGTCTGCCACATGGATAGTAGGTATTCAAGTACCTGAGCTGTCCCCTAGAATACACTAGCAGGAAGCTGGAACTGGAAGCAAACCCAGACCCTCCAATATGGGAGGTGGGCATGCCAAAGGGCATCTTAGCTATGATCACCCAGGAGATATACTTACAGCTTAGAGATGGAACATATCTTTGGGTTGATATATGAGGCAATAAGTAAAACATTCAAAGTTCATTTCCAGCAAGTGACAGATTTGGGCTCAGACCCAATGACCCCTGCCTGACTCAATTGATCTTCATTAGCATGCAAAGACACCACAAAATAAAAAAATTAAAAGATACTAGGGATCTTTCACCCAAACTACTTCTTTTTAAATTAAAATAATTAATTTTTCCATGTTACAGACTTATAAAGCATAGGAGTTCATTCCTCCCCTCCTTCTCCTCTGTCTTTATAAATCTCCTCCTACTATTTGTCCCCAAGTTATTATAATAGTATGGTCATTCATTTCACCATTACAAGCTTAACTTTCTCTGATGTAAATGAATCATGATTTGGCAAGTATAGGAAAAGGTGGAAAACATAGTAACATAATTAAAAAGTATAATTATTAATGGCACCCACGCTTCTACATTGTATACCATCATTTCTCCCCACACATATAATATCCTCATTTTTCTCTCATTAGTACAACTTTTCTCAGTTACCACATTCCTGGAATGGTCATCTCATGATGACACAAAGGCACAGACTTCAGCTGAAGACTAGCTCTGCCCATTGAAATATCTGTTCTTTGGCAAGTGACTTCAATTGAGTTCATCTTTTATTTAATAATATGGGGATCATAGTCACTTCACAATATTAGTGAGAAATTAAGTGAAGACTACATCCTAAATGTTTAACTCTACACAGAATAAGCACTTAAATGTTACCTCTGAATGCACAACTTTATACACTGCAGCAACTTCTCTCCTCATTACACTCTTTCACAGCAATTACATCACCTCTAGCCATCATTTAAACTTAATTGTCACAGGTTTATGTTTGTATAATTGTCAGTTACAAGTCATGTATTTGGACATTTTCTCTTCTCTGCACCAAATAAGCATTGAGAATTTCACCCAAAGAAGAAGTCTGTTTTGTCTCTTTGTCTAGTTCATTTGTAGTCACTGTATTACCACAGAATAGTGACTATATTGCAAATCCACATTACACCAACATCCTTAAAGTTTCTTACTGTAATTACCTTCTACTGGGAAGCCCAACTACTTCTGCTTTTCTTTCACTTATTTTCCCCAAGTATTGTTTCCATATATCCTGAGAAAGAAGAATCCAAACCAAAAGCTGCTTTTCCCAGCTGACTGGCTTAGGAGTCCAACTCAACTTTGATAGCAGCCAAACCATCTCATTCTTATACCTTCAGCACAGAAGCCTGTTTAGAAAGATCTAAAGGATGGGCCGTTGGAATTTCTGACTAACTGCCTCCTCCTTCAGAACACCAGTGGTCAGTTCCTCTATGTGAGTTGCTTCAAAACTTTTTTCTTTAACATAACATCAATTTAGGGAGGACTAGAAACCTTCCTGTTGTAAGTACAAAGTCATAGTACATTAGTACAAAATAATTCAGTGTGTATGTATTGAATAGCCAAGAAATAATATACGTGCTAAAAGGTCATATTGAATAAATACAATGAGATGTAAAACAAGATGATCTGTTATAAGGAGCTCCATAACCGAGTCTTGAAGAAAAGTGGGATTTAAAAGAACAGACCTTACCGACATGACGGAAGTAAATCCATAGGAGAAGGAAAGTGCTGTGTGTGCAAGGGAGCCAGCAGCAGCAAGTGATGCAACAACTTATCCTCCATATGCCTGGTCCATGACTATCCTTCAGGAGAAGATTCACCTCTCACACAGGTGGCCTTGGACTGAGTACCTAGTAAGTGACACAACTTTTTCTCACCCCTTTAGTGCTCTGACTAAACATAAATGGTCACAGAGGCTAATTAATGCCTACACCCACTTGGGAGACTCGGAAGAAGCTCCTGGCTCTGGGTTTCGAATCGGCTCAGCTCTGGCCATTGCAGCCACTCAGGGAGTGAATCATTGGACGGAAGATCTTCCTCTCTGTCTCTCCTCCTCTCTGTATATCTGACTTTCTAATAAAAACAAATAAATCTTTAAAGGAGCAGAAAATACCATAAAAAGTGTCCAAATAAAACTCACAATTTGTATAAAAAAACAAATAAATCTTAAAAAAAAATTACCCTGAGTAATATATCCAACATTCAGAATAGAAACAGAAAAACTAGGAAGATATGAAATGAGCATCATAACCATTAGTCCAAATGCCCACCCCTTGATTTGGAAAAATCAAGTAAGCTCAGGAAATTAAATAAAAGAACAATCTGCATTTCAGCATGTCTAGAAGAAAAGTCTTAAGCACAAATATAAAGGCCATAGAGGAGAGGAATAAAGAACATCAGGAAAATAAAGAAAAATGTGAAGGGAGAAAGTACAGACAACAGGCAATGAAACTGCAGCATTTTCCAGAGCAACATACAGACACAAGCACTCAGACTGAACAGACGCACAGAACGCCAACACCAATGGTGAGAAGAACGCTCACACCTGGTCAGGCTTTACAACACCTCAGAAAAATGAGATAAAGATTCTTCAAAGAGAGAAACACCCACCGAAGGATGAAGAATGAGATGGTTGTGAGCCCAAGCAGCAGTACAGAATGATGAAAAAAAATGGACTGCAGAAGGAAAAAGGATAAAGGAAATTATTTCCCATCTACAGTCCACAATTAAATAAGATAATAAGTATGAAAGAAAAATAAAATACTTTTTATTCATGCAAAATATGCTGCATTTTGGTTACTCAGCATTCATTTTTACCATTCTTGGACTGTAAGTATTTTTAGTTTGGGGACTATTAACTAAGGCTCTTGTGGGGATATTAACTAGGGCTCCCCAACTTGCCACACTGACCTGTGCTAAGCACTTGATCCAACTCAGGGGCAAACAGTGTGTTTCCTCCTAAGAGATCCTCCTATATTGTCAGGAGCCGTGTACTATAGCCACACTGAAGCCATTTTGAATATAGAACTATGGGCCAGTGGAAAATCCCCGGCTGGCTAGATGCTTGGGAAAGAAGTTATGAAGCTAATCACATGCTTAGTTTCAATTGTTTGTAGCAACTGTTTTAGAATGTGATTTATGCTGTACCTGCTGACATCTTGTTACTGATTACCTATGTTATTGTTGATATGCTGGTTACTATTGTGGATATGGTAGCTGCTCAAGAACAATCGGTCTGGAGACCATGGCTTGCGTCCTAGTTTCTCCTTTCCTCCCTGAGTCTTAGTTACTGAAGAGTATAAA